TGATCAATAGGATCAGGAATAGCCCAGAATAGCCGTTTCAGTCTCCAGGCCATATTTTGGGCCATAACCTTGATAATCCTTACCCGATTTCATTAATTAACATATTAACCGAAAGCTCTGAATGTGAGGATTGTTTTATTCAGTAACATTAATTTGATAGGATCATCCTAGAAGAAGATACAGCTTGAAAAGTGTAATCAATCGTGATTTTTTTATCTTTATAAGGCTTTATCTTTTCAAAGGATAATCTGATCTAAACAATCCTGTTAGATAGAATAGTCTCCAAATCAAGAGCTTTCGATTGATATAATAATTATCTTAATCGGTTAAGAATCGAAAAAGTTATGCCCAAAACATGACCTCGAAGCCTAAAAAGAAAATAAACCGTAGGATTCGAACCACTATAGAAAAATGATACACGTGGAAGTGCTACCAAGCATATAATAATTGTGGACTTATTGGTAGTACCAAGGAAACCACGCACCCCGTAGGATTATCGATCGCTAGAAAGACACAGTACATACAAAAAGAACTAACCGATTGTTCAACTCCATCCAACTTGACAGTCACAAACTGAGATTTATTATATTGCTTTACAGCTTCCAAACAGCCCTTGTCCAAAAGTGTATCATCATTTAGAAGTGTACGGACATCATTGAAAACCTCGTTGAATTCACCAGGGGGCGATTGAAGCACAATGTCTGAAGCAATTTTAGTTTTTTCTGCATCGCTAAGTTCAGCGCCAATCATTTTTGATTGAAAAATGAGTCCCAATTTATCTAGAAAATATTTTTAAAAAATACGAGATTATCCATTTTTAAAGAAAAACTTTTAAAGAAAGTAATAGTCCTTTAAAGAAAATAAATTCAAATTTTAATGTCCAGTCAAAATATTTTTAGATTAACACATCCCTTTAAAAAATGATGATACTGACGAAAATAGATAACAGAGGAAAATTGGATAACATGAAAAAATCGATAAGATAAAAGTTGGGCACCATAGAGGATTCTGAAAACTTTTTTAAAAATGATTCAGGATAATTGTCTAAAAAACTAAAAAATTGTAAGGTAATCCTAGTTTACTGGTCCCTAAGAAAGAATATAAACAGGTAGTGTTCTTTCAATATTTGTGAAGTCTGTCAGTAGGCAATCGAGTGAGCCGAGACCGAATCTGAGCTTAAAATTTGTTCATTTCTAACCCCGGACCGAAACGTATTCACACAGCACAAATGATTGCGTACTGGCAGACCTCGAAAAAATCGAAAGAGCCCTTCCTACTTATTTTTCCTAGTGACCCGAAAACTATAAGATTACAACAAAAGGTAAGGTGCCCAAAAACAATTCTCAATTCTTAAAAAATTACTTTGAAAAAAATGTTCGCAAAATTCTCATTTGTTCATAAAATCACCAAATATAAGTACTCAAAGTCATCTTCTCTTCATCTTTCAAAGAGTCCCCTCCTCTCATCAATCAGATTTTGATGAATGTGAAGCCGAACGACGCAAGCGTTGACGACCATTGTTGCTGCTGTTGTTGGACGAGCGGCTCATTGAACGCTTTTCACGCTTAACTTTCTTAACACCTTCAACAATATTTTCATTTCCATTATTTTTGCCGAAGTCACCTCGATCGTTAGAAACAGAGCGTCGATGTTTGGACCGTTTAGGTGAGACTGGTGAGCGCGAACGGCTGATGGAAGGCGAACGGCGGCGATGTCGACGAACAGAACGAGAGCGCGAACGTCGGCGACGACCACCACGTCCATAATCATCATCAAAGTTGCGACGACCTCGACCAGGCGGTGGAGGCAAACGACCTCCACGGTTACTAAAATTAGGAAAATATAACTAAAGCCATTCAAAAAAATCAAACTTGACTCTTCCAGCAGATCCTCCATAACGTGGAAGCGCCACGGTTGTACGAACTCTGCAATCCTTAATATAACCTGTCGACATGTCTCTCTTAAAAAAGAAAATTGTTTTTAAGTTTGTTGTATTAAGAAAAAAATACCAAAGCTCTCTGCGCATCCTCATTTCGATCAAAGACGACAAATCCATAAAATGGCGGATAGCTAAGGAAAGAATTATAAAAATAAGAATTAAACTTAAAAATAAAAACCTCGCCATCCAGCAATCTACAATACGACCATATTTGCCAAAAACATCCTCAATATCACAACGACGGATTGTGTCGTCCAAATTACCTAAATAATAAAAATGAAAACTTAAATATACTCAAAACAAACCAATATGAAGGCGTTTAGCTCCAGGAGAAGGAGTACGTGAAAACGTTGAGCGCGATCCAGAACGTGAGCGTCGACGGCTCTTTTTTGCGTCACGACGTCGTGGACTTCGTGAGCGATTGATAGATGAACTGCGAGAACGCGAATCTCTAACCATTTTCTTTTCAATTTGAACAAATGTTTATTATTCTAAAATTTCAAATAAATTTTAAGAAAATTGCTGAAAAATATAGCAACGAGAGTTGAGATAGGAACACATTTTTTGCTTCTCAAAACAAAACAACGCGCTACACCATGATTTTGACCCATATATGATTGATCCACTATCTTGTTAAAACCCATAAAAGGTCATCATACATTTAACCCATAAAAACATTGAAGACCAATTCCACCCATAAAATTTCACCCATAAAAACATTTCCCATAACCACCAAAGTTATATATCAGATCATCCTATATCAACCATTGAAAAATAATAAATTAAAAATATATAGTGGCCATACAAAATCATTTTCAACACATATTAAATGCCACCATTTTGCCACCACTTTTGTGGAAGCACATTTTTTTGGTGGGGGAAAAGGATGACACATACATATTCTCATATATACATTAACCATAAGCTGAAAATTTATAATAGCGCGATAAATTTCAGAAAAATTTTTTATTTGCTAATGACTAGGGATGCCGTTTTCGAGTTAGGCCGTAGTTCGAGGCATGTTTTTCGAGTTTGTTTTTATCGGACCGGGCCGTTACGAGAGTTTTCGGGCCAAATACCCTATGCCCGAAGGGTATTTGGCCTTAAAAAACTTAAAATTAAAAAACAAAGAAACCTGCCGAAACAACTTGAACACAGAAAGCTTTACTTGGTAAATATTGTCGAATTCTAGCTGGGTTAATCATAAATCTAAAAAATAATTTTTTAAATTTTTAAGACAAAAAAATGAAATTTAAAATAGTGAAAACAATAAACAACCTTATGATTTTAAGGCAATGAAGAAATATTGTTTACCAACAATGGGGTGATGGACTTTGGACTTCGAGATAAAAAGTCGTTCGTTTTAATTTTTAAATTTGTGTTCTTATTTGGCGAAGTGAATAAAACGGTAAAGAAAATGACAAAATATCCATTGATTTTTCAGTAAGGGTAGGGGACGATTCAGTATCGCCGATTCAGTATCGCCAATTCAGTATCGCCGATTCAGTATTGGCCGATTCAGTATTCAGGCTTTTTGGCCATAACTTTTTGCTCGATCAATATTGTAGGAATTATTATATATGATTTGATAGGCCTCGGGGTGCTGCATCTTTTTCATAATTGGACTTACCTGATCTGATCACTCTACAAGAAGTTAACACTGATAAACGACGTCACAGGCATAAAAAATCGGTTTTCACGCTGTAACTTTTTTTGAGATCATCAGATCAGATCGGGCCAATTATGAAAAAGATGTCGAATCTCGAGACCTTTCGAATGATATGAGAATTATTCAAATCGATCGAATATCAGGAAAGTTATGGCCATATACTGAATCGGCGGATACTGAATCGGCGATACTGAATCGGCTATACTGAATCGGCGATACTGAATCGTCCTTAACCGTTCAGTAAGGAACGTTTGAGTCTGATAATTTCAGTCTTGGTTTCATTTTTGTTCTCTAGGACTCAAACATCTTTCTGTCTGGGATATTTTGTCTGTTCATTGATTGTTGGAAACCGTGTCCATGGCTGCAATCGTGGTTTAGTCATTTCTGTAAGAATGCATGAATGATAAAATGGTTTTGTTTGGTGTTTGGCGTGCGTTACCTGCGTAAGAAACGTGTATGTATATAATCAACCGCACTTGAGAATACAAACAATCATTTTGCGTTTTTTGGCACGTATGTACACCTTTGGTTGATTCAATATATTAATTTATGGAGGAAATGCTTTGCTATGCTTTTCACTGGTTGAAAATTAACTTTTTCGGAGCGAGATTTTTTAAAAAAGGGATAGAAAAACTTGTGGCCTTTAAATCGATTTTAAAGAATTTCACTGGGGTTTGGAATTTTTTAGTTAAAATACGAATAATTTTTTAACTTTTTGTTAGTTCTACTAAATTAAGTTAGTAGGGTTGCAAAAGCGGACCGACGGGGTCCGAAAGATCGATTCGGGCATAGGGTATTTGGCCCGAAAACTCTCGTAACGGCCCGGTCCGATAAAAACAAACTCGAAAAACATGCCTCGAACTACGGCCTAACTCGAAAACGGCATCCCTAGTCATTAGCAAATAAAAAATTTTTCTGAAATTTATCGCGCTATTATAAATTTTCAGCTTATGGTTAATGTATATATGAGAATATGTATGTGTCATCCTTTTCCCCCACCAAAAAAATGTGCTTCCACAAAAGTGGTGGCAAAATGGTGGCATTTAATATGTGTTGAAAATGATTTTGTATGGCCACTATATATTTTTAATTTATTATTTTTCAATGGTTGATATAGGATGATCTGATATATAACTTTGGTGGTTATGGGAAATGTTTTTATGGGTGAAATTTTATGGGTGGAATTGGTCTTCAATGTTTTTATGGGTTAAATGTATGATGACCTTTTATGGGTTTTAACAAGATAGTGGATCAATCATATATGGGTCAAAATCATGGTGTAGCGCGTTGTTTTGTTTTGAGAAGCAAAAAATGTGTTCCTATCTCAACTCTCGTTGCTATATTTTTCAGCAATTTTCTTAAAATTTATTTGAAATTTTAGAATAATAAACATTTGTTCAAATTGAAAAGAAAATGGTTAGAGATTCGCGTTCTCGCAGTTCATCTATCAATCGCTCACGAAGTCCACGACGTCGTGACGCAAAAAAGAGCCGTCGACGCTCACGTTCTGGATCGCGCTCAACGTTTTCACGTACTCCTTCTCCTGGAGCTAAACGCCTTCATATTGGTTTGTTTTGAGTATATTTAAGTTTTCATTTTTATTATTTAGGTAATTTGGACGACACAATCCGTCGTTGTGATATTGAGGATGTTTTTGGCAAATATGGTCGTATTGTAGATTGCTGGATGGCGAGGTTTTTATTTTTAAGTTTAATTCTTATTTTTATAATTCTTTCCTTAGCTATCCGCCATTTTATGGATTTGTCGTCTTTGATCGAAATGAGGATGCGCAGAGAGCTTTGGTATTTTTTTCTTAATACAACAAACTTAAAAACAATTTTCTTTTTTAAGAGAGACATGTCGACAGGTTATATTAAGGATTGCAGAGTTCGTACAACCGTGGCGCTTCCACGTTATGGAGGATCTGCTGGAAGAGTCAAGTTTGATTTTTTTGAATGGCTTTAGTTATATTTTCCTAATTTTAGTAACCGTGGAGGTCGTTTGCCTCCACCGCCTGGTCGAGGTCGTCGCAACTTTGATGATGATTATGGACGTGGTGGTCGTCGCCGACGTTCGCGCTCTCGTTCTGTTCGTCGACATCGCCGCCGTTCGCCTTCCATCAGCCGTTCGCGCTCACCAGTCTCACCTAAACGGTCCAAACATCGACGCTCTGTTTCTAACGATCGAGGTGACTTCGGCAAAAATAATGGAAATGAAAATATTGTTGAAGGTGTTAAGAAAGTTAAGCGTGAAAAGCGTTCAATGAGCCGCTCGTCCAACAACAGCAGCAACAATGGTCGTCAACGCTTGCGTCGTTCGGCTTCACATTCATCAAAATCTGATTGATGAGAGGAGGGGACTCTTTGAAAGATGAAGAGAAGATGACTTTGAGTACTTATATTTGGTGATTTTATGAACAAATGAGAATTTTGCGAACATTTTTTTCAAAGTAATTTTTTAAGAATTGAGAATTGTTTTTGGGCACCTTACCTTTTGTTGTAATCTTATAGTTTTCGGGTCACTAGGAAAAATAAGTAGGAAGGGCTCTTTCGATTTTTTCGAGGTCTGCCAGTACGCAATCATTTGTGCTGTGTGAATACGTTTCGGTCCGGGGTTAGAAATGAACAAATTTTAAGCTCAGATTCGGTCTCGGCTCACTCGATTGCCTACTGACAGACTTCACAAATATTGAAAGAACACTACCTGTTTATATTCTTTCTTAGGGACCAGTAAACTAGGATTACCTTACAATTTTTTAGTTTTTTAGACAATTATCCTGAATCATTTTTAAAAAAGTTTTCAGAATCCTCTATGGTGCCCAACTTTTATCTTATCGATTTTTTCATGTTATCCAATTTTCCTCTGTTATCTATTTTCGTCAGTATCATCATTTTTTAAAGGGATGTGTTAATCTAAAAATATTTTGACTGGACATTAAAATTTGAATTTATTTTCTTTAAAGGACTATTACTTTCTTTAAAAGTTTTTCTTTAAAAATGGATAATCTCGTATTTTTTAAAAATATTTTCTAGATAAATTGGGACTCATTTTTCAATCAAAAATGATTGGCGCTGAACTTAGCGATGCAGAAAAAACTAAAATTGCTTCAGACATTGTGCTTCAATCGCCCCCTGGTGAATTCAACGAGGTTTTCAATGATGTCCGTACACTTCTAAATGATGATACACTTTTGGACAAGGGCTGTTTGGAAGCTGTAAAGCAATATAATAAATCTCAGTTTGTGACTGTCAAGTTGGATGGAGTTGAACAATCGGTTAGTTCTTTTTGTATGTACTGTGTCTTTCTAGCGATCGATAATCCTACGGGGTGCGTGGTTTCCTTGGTACTACCAATAAGTCCACAATTATTATATGCTTGGTAGCACTTCCACGTGTATCATTTTTCTATAGTGGTTCGAATCCTACGGTTTATTTTCTTTTTAGGCTTCGAGGTCATGTTTTGGGCATAACTTTTTCGATTCTTAACCGATTAAGATAATTATTATATCAATCGAAAGCTCTTGATTTGGAGACTATTCTATCTAACAGGATTGTTTAGATCAGATTATCCTTTGAAAAGATAAAGCCTTATAAAGATAAAAAAATCACGATTGATTACACTTTTCAAGCTGTATCTTCTTCTAGGATGATCCTATCAAATTAATGTTACTGAATAAAACAATCCTCACATTCAGAGCTTTCGGTTAATATGTTAATTAATGAAATCGGGTAAGGATTATCAAGGTTATGGCCCAAAATATGGCCTGGAGACTGAAACGGCTATTCTGGGCTATTCCTGATCCTATTGATCATTCACATTTAATTTAAAATTTCAGACATTGGTAACAGAACATAATGAATTATCTGATGGTCGTTTCGTGGATCCAAAGTCTCAAAAAACCTTCAAATATGACCATTTACGAAAAGAAGCTGTTGAAGTACATCCTGTAGGGCCAAAAGAACTTGACGATAAACATGAGCAATGGAGAAAGATTTTACAAAAGGTTTTTTTGCGATATTTTTATTTTTCAAATATTTTGTAGGAAGTTGATGAATATGTCCATGAACATTTTTATAAGACTGGTGTTGCTGCTGTATTTACACCTTTACATAAAGAGAAGACAATAATTTTGTGTATTGAATCTCATCAATTTCAACCAAAGAATTTTTGGTTTTTTAAAGAATTTATTTTTTTTTTAAATTGAAGTTTTTAGGAATGGAAGATGGAGATCTGAGTGGCATTTACCTCTTTTTGATGGAAAAGCAACAACTCATAAATGTACGGGGAAACTTCGACTTCAAGTTCATTATTATGAGGATGGAAATGTTCAGCTTATTTCTGAAAAGGATCTTAGTGTTGATGTTAAATTGAGTGTTAGTTTATTTTTTTATAAGTTACTTTCTCTTAAGGGATGTCACGGGTACCCGGAACATCCATCAGTAATACCACGATAGAGAAATCAAAACCAGTGGAATTGTATAAGAACCTTGACACGTCACCCGACTTACCCGGATCTCAGGTTTTCCCCTCTCCCTTTAACTGACCTGATCTGAAGAGAATTTTGAGGACCCAATAAACTTATTTTTAAACCGTGCCCTTCCTGCTCCCTTCCATCCTTAAAATTTTCAAATAATTTTTTTGTTAAATTTTCAGGCAGATAAAGAATCAAGTGCAAAAGATATAATTCAAGCTATTTGTGAGGCAGAATCTGCATATCAAATTGCCATTCAGGAAAGCCAATCATCAATGGAAAGTACTTTCAAGACTTTACGTCGTCAACTTCCAGTAACTCGTTCAAAATTGGATTGGCTTAAATGCCATAGTTATCGCATAATGCAAGATGTAAAGCCGCAATAAAGAGATTTTTGATTTTTTTCTTTTTAAATTTTTGCTTTTAAATTATGCTTATTCACTCTGATGTTAATTTGCTTATTTAAAGACTTGCTAAATTTATTGAAATGTAAAATAAAGATTTGAAAGTTGAGTTAAGAGAATTTTGATATATTAGAGCGATTTTATTGATTTTTGGAATGTAATTTCGAAAAGTATTGATTCTATCGATTAGTATCGATTTTTTGAAAAATAATAATTTTTTAAAATTATTATCGATTAGTATTGATTTTATCGATTGATATCGATTAGTATCGATTTTTCAAAGGTCGCTCTCAAAAGGCCGCTCTCAACTCGCTCTTTTAAGAATTCCCCCATCTCGCTCTCAACAGGCAGTACTGAACTGACCAAACTTCGCTGAATTTGTTTGCTTCTCTAACTACACTATTTCTTTTTTGTTTTTCTCTAACTTTGAGGATAAAATGTCTTTTATTTTAAATTACATTACGCCAAACTTCACGTGTATTTTTAAATCTGATTTACTTTTCATCTCTAAACCACACTATTTCCATCCCGTTGTTTCTCTAACTATAAGGCCCTACCTTTAATAATAGAATTGTATATCAGATTTGAGTTTTGTAAAAAATAAATATTTAAAAAATTTTTAATCGAAAAATTAAAAAAGAAAATATAACAAAATATTAAAACCTTGTTTTTAACGGTATAATCAAGAGGTATTTTTAAAAATCTGTCTCCAAAAGGCATTTATTTGACGTATCTGGACATTGTTCTTTTAATTCTTCAGTTATTCTTTCCTGATCGGCTTGTTTAGTGACTGGTTGTGTAAATCGCCGTTCATCTGTCCGATTTGTTCGAGTAGTTACTGCTACATGTTTCTGATTTTGTTGTTCAATTGATTGACTTTTTGATCTTTTTCTCATCATATATTCAAGGATATTTGAATCTGGATTTGTTGGAGAAATGGAATGATCTTGGGACGAATATGAATCTTGTGATGGAAGTCTGCGACGATGAACCTTGAGAAATATTTGTGAAACGTTAATAGTGTTGTACCTCGACCCGGTGCATAACTCCGGGTCTCTTATAACTCTGAGTGAGTAGAGATCCTATCCCCTTCAATTATCCCAAATCCATCCATATCACCCTAATCCCTCCAAATCCCTCGATATTTCCTTTCAAAAGTTTTAGGTCTTCAGGGGTGAACTCCGTACCCCTAACACCCGTCCCCGAACGTTTGGAGTACAACCCAAGTTAATTTAATCTTTAAAAATCCCATACCAATTCAATTTGTTTATTTACATGTCTTCCTTTATGTTCACATTTTGGTAATCGTTCTTTAGTTATTGTTCCATCTGGTTGTTGTTGACTTGTTTCAGCTTGACAACAACTTCCTACACTTTCAACTTCTCTTACAGTTAAAGTATACGGAACATTTCCAGCATCATTATCATCGCCTTCTTCCTCGCCATTAAATAAATGTACAGTTCGTAAATCTGGTCTTTCTTCGCTTTCAATAGAAATTGCTGTCGGTAAACGTCTTCTATTTGTATTTGAAGTTGCTGGTTGAGCAATGCCACTATTGTAGTTTAATGTCTCATTTAATGAAAGAACATCTTTTAAAATACTATCAAGTGGATCCAATAATTTGTTAATATTTTCTGTTGTTGCTTCGGGTTCTTTCTGAATAAAATAGAAATGTTAAGGGCTGAGAAAAAAATCTGATTGAGTTTCAGGTCGATGGGTTTCAGGTGAGTTAGTTGAAGGAATTAGGAAGAGAAAAAGTTTTCGAAAATTCATCGTATCGGGTTTTGAGCCGAAAAGAAGACCAGGGTTAACCCATGACATCCCCGGTATAGTAAGAATAAAAAATATTCAACAGTGATATGTAAAATATTTTTAAGAAATTATAAAAACCTTGTTAATTAAACCAGTCGGTTTTGGACCAATTACGGGCCGTGTTCCTTCCATTTTTGATTTTGCAGATAAGGTTGTTGGTTGTTGTTTAATATCAATTCCGTCTATTGTTATTACCAAATCTTCTTTACAAATAACACGACCAGGAAGAGGACCAACACGATTTGAAGCATCAATTTCCTCTTCATTTTTATTTTCAGTTTTGTCATTATTGGCAGCATTGGTGGCATCACTATCCGATTTTGTAATTGGCACTTGAAGGGAAAATTTTCAAAAAATCTAAAAAGTTAAAGAAAACCTTTATCTCCTATAGTTGGTGTTCTAATCACTAAAGGTTTTCTATTTCCTAAATGTCCAAAATTAGAAGGTGTTGAAGTACTTCCACGTGTAGAAGAAATTAAAACTGGGCGGATAATTGAAGGAAGTCCACCACCACCACAAGACGAATAAATGTTATTTGGAGGAGGATAATCTATAGCAACAGGAATTTCATTTCTAGAAAAAACCACAAAAACTAATCAAAAAATTTTTTGAAAACCTTAGTCGATTTTTAAAGTCAGAAGAACCACAACTTGCTGAAGGTGCATAACGTATCCTTCGTTGTCCATCAGAACTACGAGTTGAAGCTGGGGCAGATGAAGAAGCTATAGAATAATCGGAACAACAAGCGGAGGATGAAGTAAATTCACTACCAGGTTGTTGGCCTAGAAATTTAAAGCAAATTAAAAAATAAACAAAAAAATAAACCAAAAGTTTTTGTTGACGTTCCTCCGTCATGGATTACCGATGGGATGGAAGATTTTATTTTATTTCCTTCAATAATAGGACTAGGCGAATGAACAACTGCTGAAGCTTTGGTATTTTGAAGCTGTTGACGACGCATTGCTGTTGTTGTAGTTGTTGCTGAGGTAGAAGCAATTGAAAAATTATCAGAACATTGTAACGGCTCTAAAAATAATTTTTAAAAAAATATTTGAAATTTAATTGAAAAAAACCTGAAGTACTTTCAGGCAAAGTAACTTTTTTAACAATAACATTTCCAACTCTTTTAGTTGTAAAAGTTGTTTGATAAACTCTTGGATCAACATAATTGCTGCCAGCAGCGACAGTTGACGATGAGGAAGAATAAATATCAGAACGAGAAGAATTTTGTTGATCACTGTCATTTACTCCATTATTAAGCCGTTTACTTAATCTGTATGAACCTAAAAAATTTAATAGAAAAAATTAAAATTTTCCACAAATTTAACTAAAAAAACCTTCAGAATTATTGTCTGTATCATTCAAATGTTGAGGAAATTTATTAAAATTCTCTCCACTTAAGGATTTAATTGGTGCATAAAATTCATATCCATCAGTTTGTAAAGATGATGGAGCCAAGACATTTGGTAAAGAAACGGACATCTAGTAAAAAGTTGAGGATAAAAATATTTTTTAACTAAGAAAATTTCTAACAGGGTCAATTTGTTGACGAAAAGAATTATCCAAAGGAATAGACACTTCTTTCTTAAGATGACCATTTTCTTTTATTTTATCAGACAAAATATCGCCATAACAAGAACGTTGCATTGGCAACTGATAATGACTATTATTGTTATTGTTTGCTTCTCTTTTTTGGTGACGATGATGGTGATGATTATGTTTTTTATGATGATGATGGTGATTATGTTGTTGGCTATCACAAGCTAGACTACTCTTAAAAATTAAAAAATAATTTTTAGAAGTTAAACATAAAATTCAAGACTACAAACTTATTTAAGACAAACTTTAACAATAAAAAAACTTCTTTATGAATAAAACAAGTTTATTTTTAAATCAAGTATGAACTAAACATCAAGTTTATTTAATTTGACATAATTTAAGTTTAAACTTGAGATTCTAAGTTTACAAACTTATTCAAAACTTGGCAAGTTTATTTAAGTTTAAACTTTCAAGCTTACAAACTTATTCAAAACTTAAACAAGTTTATTTAAGTTTAAACTTAAAATTCTAAGTTTACAAACTTATTCAAAACTTAGCAAGTTTATTTAAGTTTAAACTTTCAAGCTTACAAACTTATTCAAAACTTAAACAAGTTTATTTAAGTTTAAACTTAAAATTCTAAGTTTACAAACTTACTCAAAACTTGGCAAGTTTATTTAAGTTTAAACTTTCAAGCTTACAAACTTATTCAAAACTTAAACAAGTTTATTTAAGTTTAAACTTAAAATTCTAAGTTTACAAACTTATTCAAAACTTGGCAAGTTTATTTAAGTTTAAACTTTCAAGCTTACAAACTTATTCAAAACTTAAACAAGTTTATTTAAGTTTAAACTTAAAATTCTAAGTTTACAAACTTATTCAAAACTTGACAAGTTTATTTAAGTTTAAACTTTCAAGCTTACAAACTTATTCAAAACTTAAACAAGTTTATTTAAGTTTAAACTTAAAATTCTAAGTTTAGAAACTTATTCAAAACTTGACAGGTTTATTTAAGTTTAAACTTTCAAGCTTACAAACTTATTCAAACTTAAACAAGTTTATTTAAGTTTAAACTTAAAATTCTAAGTTTACAAACTTATTCAAAACTTGACAGGTTTATTTAAGTTTAAACTTTCAAGCTTACAAACTTATTCAAACTTAAACAAGTTTATTTAAGTTTAAACTTAAAATTCTAAGTTTACAAACTTATTCAAAACTTAAACAAGTTTATTTAAATTTAAACTCAAAATTTTAAGTTTACAAACTTGTTAAAGAATAAAACAAGGTTATTTAAGTTTAAACTTAAAATTTTAAGTTTGCAAGCTTGTTAAAGAATAAAACAAGTTTATTTAAATTTAAACTTAAAATTTTAAGTTTACATGCTTGTTAAAGAATGAAATAAGTTTATTCAAATTAGAATTTTCAGGTTTGCAAACTTGTTCAAGATTAACAAAGTTTATTTTTAAATCAAGTATGAACTTAAATCGTCAGATTACAAACTTATTTAAGAATAAGACAAGTTTATTTAAATTTAAACTTAAATTTTAAAGTTCACAAACTTGTTAACATATAAGTTTAATTAATTTACCCAATTTATATTTAAACTTAGAATTCTAAGTTTACAAACTTATTCAAGATTAAAAAATTAATACCTTTGGCCTTGTTTTTCTTTCACCATTTTCTCTTGTTATTATTTCTTCGCCAGATGAACGTTTAGTATTATTTATAGAATTTCCAATAAGATTTCCGCCATTTTGACTAGCCATTGATGTAATATTCATTATTAATTTTTGTGTATTTTCCACAGCCTGTCTATTTTTGTTGTTTTCTGATAATCTGTTTGAGATAAAATAATGTTGTTGTGGTTGTGGTTGTTGAAATTGTTGTTGATTCCCATAAATTGGAGGGAAAATTGGTGCTTTTGTATTTAATGGATGAATAAAACTTCGTTGTAAAGGTCTAAAAGATAAATTTAAAAAAAAACTTGGCAATTTAAAGCTTCTTATCCTGATTAGTTTTAGTTTTTTGTTACTATGGTTAAGTGGGGGTAATTTTAGGTAGGTCACGGGTTCGAATCCGTTCGTTGAAATTCTAATAGACTTTTTATGAAAAATAGTCAATGGCAGGATCTGTGAATTTAGTTCGCTCATTAGAAATTGTAAAGAGCTAACAGAAATTATCAAAAAATTCAAATTCTTGTTCCTACCGTTTAAAAGGCTCTCGGCGCTTCCTATGTTCACGTACATAGTCCATTAATTGTTTCTGAGTTCTGCCTTGATAATGAAAGTTTGAGCCACGGTGGAAGAGCTTTCGAGATTCTCGCGATTCAACAGGTTCAGGGCAGCGGAAGAAACCTTAAAGAAATAGGGAAACTCTAAACAAATTTTTTTTAAAAATACTGTGATGTTCAACGCATTTCTTCCAAAAATTTTTGCAATCATCTCGATTATCAAAAATAAATTCTACAGTTTCTTTGTATTGTTGCTGAAAGAAAAATGTAAAGTTTAATCAAAATTAGAGAAAAAATACAGCGCTATCTGGATGAATTTTAATCATAAGCCTTTTCCGTTTAAAACACAATTTTCGTATTTTTGCCCAAGAAAAAGTCATCATACAATTTAGTTGATGGAACATCTAAAAGTTAATATTATAAATTAAAGTGCCACATGACTGAATGTATTAATCATAAATACTAGAGATGTCTAAAACGAGAATTTTCCTAGACCTAGACTGGACCTTGAGACTCAAGAAAGATAGAAAAAAAACAAAGAAAATTCCTGAGGACTCAAGACAAAGAGTTTTGGACGTCTCTAATAAATAAAATAACCTCTCCCAATAAATTTCTTATAAAATAGTACCTTTATTCCCATGTGAGCAACAGAAAGAGCCACCTAAAAATTAATTAAATAAATATTCAAAAATAGCTAAGATTTCAAAAACTAATTTCTAACCTCAACGCCTTCCAAATCCCTTGCATTGTGAAGACGTATTCCATAAAAGTCACAACGTCTTGCAGTTTCAAGCAAATTAAAATCAGCTTCAGCCGGACTCATACCAATAAGCTGAACAAACCAACAAAATTAAAAAAAATTCACAAAAATAACCTTTTTGTGTTGCTCCATAACTTCTTTCTGGAATGCAGGGCTTTGATTGGGTACAAATTGTACATTGCCAGAAGAAACATATCTGTAGTCAGGATAGTCCAATGGAGAGTAATCACCACATTCTGATTGAATCTGAAAAATATTCGATTGAAAATTTTGATAAAAAAGAAAAAACAAACAATAAAAGAAACAAGCAATGCTGCAGTACTCTCATTACATAACAACTCGCCACGAGCCAAATCACGACGTAATTGTAAGGCGAACAAGTAACTTTAAAAACAAAATAATGTAATAGTAGGGATTTTTGCCAAAGTTGGCTGGACACGGGAAATCTTCAGAAATCCACGATTCTAGCAAACAACCGGACCTGATATCCGAACCGAAAAATTTTCGTATATCCGTTATTTTTTCTGATCAAATATTCGGATCCGCACGTTAATTTAAAAATAATACCGTGTATATTCCTCTTCAAGTTCCGCAGGATTAGGAGTATAAAATTTAACAGTAAAAAAGAAACGAGCGTCGGATTGAGCAGCCATGATTTGACGCAAGATACTTTTATCTTTGTCTAGCCAACACTAGAAAAATAAGAAGAAATAATTTCTCAACAAAAACCAAACCCTATTTCCAAAAGAAATAAATTCAAGTCCAAAATAATCAGATTCCAACAAATTTAAATGTCTGCAAACTTCATCAAAAAGAGCTTGGCCAAGTGCTTTATGCTAAAAAATTATAAAATTGAAATTTAAAAATGTTCGAAACGAAATTTACCCCGAGATGAAAGACTCCTACACTATCATCAAGCATTCGAACCTAAATTAAGAAGAAATAAATTTTTTAATAAATTTGTATTAATTTACTTTAATGCACATTAGCCTTCCTTTTCCTTTTCGAGGATCCATACCGGGTGGAGGAGGACAACCCTGAAATTATAAAATAAATCAAATGAACCAATAGAAGCCCATGCCCTTTTAGAAGCCCAAGTCCTATGAGAAACCCTCTCAATGAGACTCATTAAAAAATAGGAGCGAAAACCCATATCCTTGTAGAAGCCCACTAAAAAACTGAAAAATAGAAGCCCAAGGCTTTTATTAGAGAGGGTTTCTCATAGGGCATTATCCAAAAAGTTGGTATAAAACTCAATTACCACGCCACGAGGAATCTGTGATGACACCGGCTTTTGCATAAGATGTGACAAAATAACATTCAAAAATATTCACCCGTTTTAGTAACAAAAATGTTCAGTATCAGCATCTAAAAAATATTAAAATGTTTTAGATTAAAAGAAATATGGAACAAAAAATTTTTAAATTCGTAAAAATAAAATATTTTAAATTAAAGAAAAATAGAGGAAAATTGATCGAATTTGATCGCAAGGTGGCTTTTGCTCTAATCCAAAATGTAATTAAAAAGTATAAAAAACAAAACAACAACAGTTGTTCCCCAGGATTACTCATGAACCTATTAAAAAGTGCAATATTGCAATATTATATAATCTAGGAATAAAAATGTGGTTTTATATCAAAGGTGGATATTAGAAACCGGAATGGGAGGGGCGTACAAGAAGCATGAGATATCTCGGAAAAACAAAATTACAACATTGACTTGGTGGCATTCAACCCAGTCTGACCATTATTAACATTTAACGATTTTTAAAGAAGAAAAGATAACCGAAGGATACCATTTTGTTGTATTATAATCGTACGAGAATCTCGACAAAACTTGATCTCGATCACCTAGATTTTTGTCCAAAATCTCGTCTCGATCCGGTCCCTAGTGTATATGAAAAATAAAACAATTGAAAATTTCTTAGAAACGATAAACGGAATTTTTTTGAAAATTTTAAATAAAAATAAAAAATCTTAACAAAAAACAAAATCTCCAGAGTAACATATAAAATTGTAAGTAGCCTTATCATTCAAGCTTATCTAAAAATATTTATGACAAACATGTCAAATAAAAACAAGTGTCATATTTTATGTTCTACAAACAAATATTTTTTTAAAAACTTTTTAACCCCTTTAAAGTTTTTTTAAATCCATTGGGAATGCGAGAATGTTCTCTTGTTTATAGCAGTAAATATTTGTGCCAAAAAAACAAAGCAAAAAAATATTTAGATTGCCTTAAAATGAGTCGCACAAGAAAATAAATAAATAGATGTATTTTGACAAACTTCTAAATATTACTACAAATAATATTATAATACGAAAGATCTCAAAAAAGAAAAAAAAGTTCAAATAATAAATAGGTATGTAGTAGCAAATGTGAAAATAAAAAGGAAAGAAGCTTAGCTTTTTTAAGTTTTTTTATTTTTAAATTTTTTTAATAAAATAAAAAAATATCCAAAATTGGTAATATTTTTTGTGCTTGAGTTAGTAAATATGAGCAAATTGGCACTTCATATTCTGATTAGTATACTAGTGGATAAAAAAAATGTGCTTAAAAATATACAAACTGAAACCTCTCCCTATGGAATACTTTTTTTTTATTTTTATCAACCTAATATTAGAGGTAAATAAAAATATTATTATTGAAGAAGTATGCCCCCAAATATAGCCCAATATAGTTTTGTTCCCAAGAGAAATATATAATAAAGAAAATGAAGATAGTACAATTCACACTAAATTAATAAAAGCTTAATATATTTCTTTGGAGTCAGGCCAACGTACCGCGAGGTCATTATATCGCCTAGTTATGATTTCGTTAAAAATCATCATCCGGAAGCTGAATTGAACCATATCAGGACGTCCGATAATTTTGGATGAAGTTATAGCTCGGCGGTACGTTGGGGTGTATCCTTTCTATGGACAGGAAGAAAATAAATTCAAAAATTTACAAAAATAATAATAAACTTAAGCAAGAATTAACAAGAATTAACTTTTTTAAAAGCAAGAATTAACTTTTAGAAGGAACAGTCTGTTCAATTGTTCATACATATTAAATTAAATACAATTTTTAAGAATGGATGAAAAGTAACTAAAATTTTTATAAAGTCCAAAAACGAAGTCGCTTAAGGGAAAAGGCAGAGATAAGAAAGAAATGCACATGCATAGAAGAAATGCACTTGGCCATTTACTTACTATGCCAGCAGTTTTATAGACTAACAAAGGAGAGAAAAGCATGCAAGGCCTTTGGCATTTTTACAAGGCCAGTGGTCTTCACTCTCTACATATCCAGTCATTTATGCGGTTCCCTTGGCCAAATGTGTCCTAATTTGTTTTGGTCTTTCTTTTTCAGTTTAACTCTCGAAATAGCAAAAAAGAAGCTTCCGACAATCTAACAAGCTAAAAACATTCACTCAATCAGTAGTAAGTTTAAGGCACTTTTTACTTCTCTCTGCAGGAGCTTCTTCTGTGTCATATATTGCCAAATATTCCTTTATTCCTTAACTATTTTGTATTTACACGAGTCTTATGCATATCTTTTCAAGAAAAGAAAAGTAAATGAAAAAAGAATTTCTAGAGGAAGAGAAGACTTTTTTGGCAATTTTGGGAAAGAAAAAAGGATTGAAAAATTGTCCAGCTTTTAAAATTTGTTGAAAAATAGAAAATGATTTTTAAACTAGAAAAAAAGAAAAGAATAATTTTAGCCAAGAGGAAACAGGCAGAAATTCACCTCAATCATTAATAGTGCCTTTAAAATCTTTATAAAATTTTTTAATACAAAAAATATCCCCCTCCCCCCAATCATCTTTGTCATTTTTTTAACAGCAACAGTTTCAATCTCGTCTACAAGAAAGCTGTCTAGCTTAGGGCATTCAAGCATTCAAAAATTGTTGCTTTCACTAAAACAAAGATAAATCGTTTCACTGTGTACTTTTTTATCCGTTCCGTCTTCTAGTTATCCCCCATAAAAATACCGGTTGCGGTTCAAACGATAATATCAACATCTCAAAAACAGTTATTTATAAATTTATTTTCTAATAATTTAAATTCTCTAAAAATAGAAAACATTGACCAATAACCGATGATCATTCATGTTACATCCCCCAAATTTATTAGAAGAAAAGGATAAAACACTCCCAAAAAAGCTCATATTTTTAAAATCTTATCTCCCTTTTGATCACGCTTTTAAAAGCTTTTGAGGATCGCCATTCACATTCAGTAAAAGGGATATAAAAATGTGTGGATATTAAGGAGGCTTGGATATATAAAACATTGTCGTCACTACTTTCGCCCTTTCCTACGCATTCTTATTTTTAAAAAAGCTTATTATAAATAAAACGTTTTTTGTAAACCCCCCCCCCCCCCACTTTATACGTCCCTCACTTTTCAATAAAAAATATGCTTATATGCATGCGCAATGATGCGCATGTAATCGCTATCCGGTACTTAAACCCTCACCCTTTCTACTACTAGTTAAACCCCCCTTTATTATATCTCAATCCCAATCTTGCATTCCCCCAAGCTTGGACAGCATAAATTAAAAATCATCCGCATTCCGTTCCTCCTTATATTCAAAAAACTGACTGGGTAAACAAGTTATATAAGTAAATTTTGGTAAAAATATCAAGGAATATATATCCAATATTAATTTTATCCTTCGATACATATCATAGAGAAATTTTTTTTCTCAAATTTTCCTTAAGAAATAAATTAAATAATTAAGGTTAAAATAAAAATAATCCTTAAGCTTGTTCCCTAATTTATAAATAAACACAACTTCAAAGTGTATGCAGCTTCAAGAAAAACCAGAAAAAAATCAACAACAACAACTAAAACCATCAGCAGTGTCTTTTACAGCGTTTCTTGCAATTTATTTGTTCGGACTTGTAATTTGTATACCGACTTCATTGTTAATTTGGTTCGTTAGACGTCGTTTATTCAAAGAAACAAAAGTTGCAGGGGTAGTTATATTTGTATAGTTACATTATACTTATAATTAAACAGTCATGCGTGTTATCATCATCCACCCAGAACAATGGAATGGCGGGTCGGACCGCTGCACTGTAAGCAAACTAAAGCTTAAAATTTAAAAAAATTTCATTAAAAGATCGGGTTTCTTCGACATTTCGTCCAAGCCGGACATCAGGTCGCTTGGTTAACAACAATGATTGATGATTATTGGGCAGATGAGGAATTCAAAGGAGTAGAAATTCATGAAGTTCGTCTCCCGCTACATCCTGGAGATTGGTTTTCACAAAATATAGGTAATATTCAAAGGCTTCCTCTAGAAAATAACTAATCTTAACAGCACTTGCGTATCACATAATTTTTCGCACGAAACTGAAACCAGATTTAATTGTTGCTGATCACAGTGCGTCGTGCGTTCCGATATTAAAATGGTGGTTTCCAAAGGTAAGAGCGCGCTTTTTAAATTAAATAAAATCTCAAAAACTTTAAGGTACACGTAATGTTCTACTGCCATTTTCCCCAACAATTGGTTCGAAATCTCACAATTAAAAAATACTTAAATTCACTCTTACAGGTAACACCAAATCGCTTTTTTCTGTATCGTTGGTACTCGGCATGTATGGGCCTTATTGAAGCTCACATGTGTGAATATGCAGGTAATTTAATAGTCGAAGCTTATACGAAGAGACAAAAAAATTTTTAGATATGATCATTGTGAACAGTGAATTTACGTGTAAATTTTTAATAGAAACCCTTTGCTTAAAAATTCTATGATAAAAAATATTTTTTACAGCCAAAAACTTTCAAACTGTAATGCCCAGCATACCCAAAGAGAAACTGCGCGTGATTTATCCTCCTTGTGATGTTGATTCACTGAGCGTTGTGTCACGTCCAATTTCACGCAAACATCGGATGCCTAATGAACGCTACCTATTTCTTTCAATGAATCGTTTCTGGCCAGAAAAGCGTTTGGACATAATTTTGGACGCAGCTGGTTTGTTCAAATTATTTTTAAGCTTGGTCAGCCCCCTATTTTTCTTTTGTTTAATTCAAATAACGTAAAATCTCTAATCCCCTCTCTACTAGAGAATTCACTTTTACATACATAAACTACATAACTTTCCCTCTACTTTCCCCTGTACTTTCCAATCTCCCCAAACTTTACTTTCCCGATTATCCAATGAATATTTAACTTAATTTCCATAAAAACAGAAAATTTTACCCGTTTAAAAAGCGTATAATAAATATTCTCGGAGTTTTATTCCTAAGCGATTGATTCTTATCTATGAATTGTTTTAAGAAAATTTTCTCTCATTCACATCCAGAAATATTTGTTGAAGCAAATATCCTATAAGATGCGTGGATATAGATCCTTACTTAAGATAATTAAATAAATGAAAGTTTGACAGACAAAAAAGAGAAAGAAAAGTACAAAAATATGAACTTTGAAAAACTTATCCCTCTCACTTTCAGTTCAATTGAAAAGCTTTGGACTTAATCCACTTATACAAATGGCTGGGTCTGTAATGCCGCACATTCCGGAGTCTAAGATTTACTACGAATTGTTGAAGGAACAATGTAAAAAATACAATTTGGAGGACATTATTGAAGTACGGGTTTTTTAAATTTTTTCTTCAAGAAAACTGAGAGAAAGCTTAAGAGGAAAATTATGTAAATTGTTGAAATTAATTCAAGAGGGGAGATATTTAGAAAGGGAAGATAAGGAGGATAGTTCAAAGAAATATTTTGAAGAAAGGGAGATGAATCGAAGGGAGGTAAATCGAAGAAAGGGTAGATAATAAAAGATAATTCAAGGTGGGATACAAATTTCGAAGGTAGATTCTTATTTTTAATTTTTAGAAGAAACTGATTAGATTGAAACTATAAGGGTATGAGAAAATAGAAAAAACTTTCGAAAAAACTAAACTTTAGAATTACCAAGAGAATAATAAAAAATTACACCCCTTTTATTTTAAAAAAATGAATAAAACATCGCCTAATCCCAATTTTAAATAAAAATTAATATTATTAGTTTATACCTGATCCAAACGATGAGAAAAAATTCGAATTGTACAGCCAATGCGATTCTGTAATCTACACACCACCCAATGAACATTTTGGTATTGTCCCAATTGAAGCCTTAGAGCAACGTCGTCCAGTTATTGTTATTGACAGTGGTGGGCCCTCAGAAACAGTCATTGAAGGAGTGACAGGAACCAAGGTGAATTATTGCTGTTTTCTAAAATTTGATAAAATAATAAAAAAAAAGATTTCTGATACCGATGGAATAAAGTTGGCCGAGGCAATGGTTGAACATATGGAATCCAAGGAGTGGATCAATTTGGATGATGATGCTCATTATGTTATGCAGGTGAACAAATCTGTAAAATATTGAATAAAATAAAATGGCAGCTCAATTAATGTTGGAAGTTCGTGAGAAATGTCCAGATATGTATCAGGAAAGAGAGACATTTTTTCCAACCCGAAAATGTCCGAATATCCGGACCTTTTCGGTTCTAGATAACAGGAAACGTCAACCTTAAATCAAGTGTCACACCTTTTCCACTATAGGGCAGGGATGTCACGGGTTACATGAAACCCGGACTTAATTTCGACCCGAATCCTGAGAAACCTTCCAAAACCCGGCCCGACTTTTTCCTCAACTAGTGGAATCCCTGTTAGTCCAATTCAGAAATCAAATAGAAAAAATAAATTTGAAAAACCTTTTGCAGCGTGCTCGCTTCGAAAAACACTTTAGCTTGAATGGATTTGGACAAAACATCGACAAAGCAGTCACAAAAATATTTGGCAAAGATATGAATGTAAATAATGAAGAAGAGCAGCAAATAATGGAAGCGGTTAAAATCTAAAATATAAAAAAATAATTAAAAATTTTCTAAATATTTAAGCACACAAATGGATTCACTTCATACACAAGCCATGCAAAACGGCAGAAGAAACCCGAAGGAAATTTAAAGGGAAAAGCACGCCAAAACGGACAGGATCGAAAAAACGCATAAGCACGGAAAGACAATTACATAATTTTAGTTTCAAAGCACAAGCTCAGCTCTCATTTCACAAAAAAAGAGTTGGATAACTTAATTAAAAAAATTTTTCTGAACATTTACAGAGCTGAGCTTTATTTACGAAATCTCTTGCTTTTGCTATTTATATTAAATACATATGTATTAATTGTAATTTAGAAAATAATTAAATTATTCAGCATAAAGTTTGGAAAATATTCGTGTAAATTTGACTCAAAAAATAGAATGGCCTGCAAGGTTGTCGGTTTCAGAAGTTTTTTTTGGTAATAACTCAAACGGAATAATTTCGGTTAACCAAAACTGATAACCCTATCTTTAGGTCTTCGGTTCGGTCTGAAACCGACAACCCTAATATTTAATAAGTTAATTAAAAAAACCTCCATCTTTGGTTGATAGTCATTGAAAACAAGTAGAACATGCAGAAAATTGACCTTCTTATTCAGTTAATAAAGTTGTTGATCCATCATCTTGCAAGGACATAAGGTTTTGTTTGAGTATTTTCGAATCTTCCATAAGCCACAAAGGTGACATTTCATCTAGAAATTTAGTTACAGCATAAAATTAAATACGTATCGAGTTAAAACAAAGTATAAAATCTATAACAAAGGATATCAAAAAAATTTTATCATAAAAGGCAAATAAAAAGACGAATAAAAACATTCAAAATATAAAATTTGTTTGAAAGACAATCGTAATAAAAAAATGTTTAAATGTTGAAGCTTCTACTCGGGTTTTTGTTGAGACCATAAAATAATCAGGAAGCAGGCTTGATAATACATCCACAAAAATTTAACAAGAGATTAAATGACGAACAGTTTTGAACATTTCCATCAAAAGACTGGCAGGGTATCGAGAAAACTGAAATGAAAAAATCGAAAAGTAGGGAAGCTTTTTCAATCTTGGGATTGAAGGGATCCTGTGATTCATGGACAGTTTTGGCAGGGTAACGGGAATTCATGGAATCCCGTCCAAACATTTTAAACCCAACCCCGTTTCGAGATCCCAGGATTGCGATTTAACCAATCTCCGAAATCTGGACTTTTTCCAGCTCTAAACCCAACCCTGGAAATTTTCGTTGATGAAAATCACAAATACGAGAAAATAAAAAAAATAACCTGATAATGGAAAACAGTAAATTGATCCAATCCGTGCCCAACATCAAAACTATATAAAAATATTTTTATTTCAGATAGAATTTAAAAAACCCTTCTCGATGAAAATTATTTATTCCCAAACATTTTGTAACAATTCCCATTTGAACATCATCCAAGTGAACATGCCTCCATGGAAAATCACAAATACGTTGAAGAATGTCTACAGCAGCATCGCGGGAAATGATAAAACTTGAACCCTTAAAGAATGATTTAATTGTAAGAAGTTTATGGGATAAAAACGGATTAAAATTAAATTCCTAAGGGGGTGTTGATTCTTTCAAGGAGCTATAGGATAAACTCAACCACTCCTAAAACCCACTTTGAACGGCCATAACTAGGCACAAAAACATTTTGCAAGAAAACGGATATCATTTCGAAACAAGAAGTCGGGGATCCTTTATCGAATGGCATAGAAAATGTTCACTTGTTAGGCAACAAATAAATTTGTTTTTAATATTTCAAATAGTATATTTACATTAATATAAATTTTCAAACTTGAACAAACGGTGGATAGCATTTGTGAGGATATTGTTCAGCAGAGACATACCAAGGCAACCATGGAAAAACCAGCCGAGGATATCCACGAGAAACTTTTCCAATCAAATAGCGTTTATCATCAGGGGAAGTTGAAGTATTTTGCCACTGAAAAAATAACGTTGTGTTTATAATAGAGAAATTAAGAGTTCGAACTCGGCCTAACAATCCGGTACCCCGGCAGCCGAGTATTTTGATAAAATCCGGTTTTTCAGTCTCCGGGGTTGCCCACGGCCGGGAAGCTTGATAGAAAACGAACTCAGGATACCGAACTCGGCAATGTGAAAAGTTCGAACTCTAAAAATTAATCAAAAAATACGTGTTCAATCTGATGAAATAAAACATTCAATGCTGTAGCATTCACAATTGTATCTAAATTTAATTTATTAAAATATTTAAAAATTTAAAATTATACCATCGTTAATAACCACAATTTGTTGAATATTTGCGTGAGCAGTAAAATAACTATAAATTCCTTAAAAAATATTTTTAAAGCAAAATAAAATTTTATAGTTCATTTACCCATCATTTTAGTAGATAAATTCCTGTAGGAGTCTTCAAAATCCATTTGAAGAATGTCGCCATGTTCTCTACTCTCTGAAGACAATTCAGTTACGTCTCGACCCGTTACAAAAATAACAGGACCATCACTGTGTTGTTCTACTGCTGTTTTCCATGAGGCTCGTATAAATTTGCGGTATTCTAAAGCGCGAGGAGCTGTTCGAATCTGAAAAGAGAAAAATATTGTGATAAACAGGAAAAGCAAAAAAGTTTAATAATGGCCACAGAATAGGTGAGGAAGCTCTCAAAATAAGTAGGGAAAACCTGAACTCCTATTCCCCTTTAAGGCTTGAAGATGTTAAAAAAGGGAGTGGGGGAGGGAAACTAAAATACAAGCAGGGAAAACCCTCACCACCCCACAGGGTAAATTTTGAGGTTTCAAGAAATAAATTTCTATAAAAAATACCACAACAACTCTCTTCAAGTTCGGATCGTCCAAATTGCTTCGCCATGGATGAAGTAAAGTGCTAATCGATTTGTTCGAATTGCAAAATGAAAAACCATTTTGTATGTCACGATCACCGGCGTTGTCGATAAAACGTTCATTGTCTTTCCCATTATTCTGTGCAAAAAAGTAGGCAGCACAATCTTCAGTTGAGGATCTTAAAGCTCGACGAACAGCTAAAAGATCAGGATCGGTGTAGCAATAAATTCGAAGAGGAAGTAAGCAACGTTCTAGATAGTTTGCAATCTGAAACGAAAAAAAAGTTTCTAAGAATCAGCCCATTAGAGTAAAAACTTACAAAAATGTACGGCAAAATCCAAATGAATTGAAGTAGCAAAATTAAAAGAACATCGGGAATTGTAATCTTCTTTATCCATCTTCTTTGAACAGGACTGTTTTTGGCATTTTCTGAATCATTAAAGTTTCTTCTCTTCTTTTGAACTTTGATAGATTGTAGGCCTTTATTTGCTTTTGGAGAAGATTTGTGACAATTATTAATTTGATGGGAAATGTTGTTTTGCGTAATTAAAGCAAGATGAGAATTGGGGGATGAAGAAGAGTTTTCTTGTGAAATTGAAAAAAGTTTTACGAGTAAAGGATAATGTGGTTTTGAATTGGAAGGATTATTTTGACGAGAATTCAGCACAGAATTTGAACGTTTATAATTTAGCCGTACAAGAGGCCAACAAAAGGAAGATGAAGAGATTGTAATGCTGTCAGATTGCGAATTTATTTTTAATAAAGAAGAGGTTGATGAGGATTTGGAAGATTTTGGAGATGAAGATGATGAGCGGATTCGGCCATAAGTACAAGAATTTATTTCTAATTGTTGTTCAGTAATACGTAAGGGATATGAAGAAGAGCATGAAGATGGGGTTGTTGATGTTGAAAATGATGAACAGGCAGAGCTAAAGGATACAGAGCTGGAACAACGGCGTTGTGACATACAAAGATATCAACTGAAAATATTGATAAGGTCAAAAGAAGTCTATAAAATTGAAAAATCAATTATTTGAAGAAAATCTTCAAAATTTTACATCAATGAAACAGTCATCAAAGAAAGAAAAAATTGAAGAAAAAGAAAGAATTACATAAAGCAGAGCTAAAGATTTTAGCAATAAAAGTGAAAAAAAGTCGCTCGCGCCGTCCCGCGATCGCACTGAGAACATTCGAAGGCTATCCATTATTGTTTTACGGCAACACGACTTTGAATAGGAAAATCATATCCCTAGTCCACTATTTATTCGATAAGATCTGTGTTACTCAAATTGTAAACGGCAGAGTAATTCAAATGATGTGTTCGCTTCATTGCACATTAAAAACGTCTTTTTTTAGCTTGAAGTTAACATAACCAGTTCTATGTTTAACCATATTAATAGTCTGCTTTTAATATTTGAAGCCAAATTTGGGGAGATAGTTTTTGATGTTTAAGATGATGACGAGATTGCAATATGCATATTTTCAGTAATAAATCAAGACAGATGATCAAAGTTTAAAACAGCCTTTTTAGAAAAAATAACCAAAAATGTTGGATATTAAGAAAGATTTATAAAGATTAAAAAAAAGGTTCAAATAAGATAAAGAAGTAAAATCCCTAAAACTCGGACCGAAAGTATACTATTCTGAAAATTTTCCTTTTTTAAATTTGTTTAATTTGATCATTAAATTAGTTTGGCGAAATGTTTTTAATAGACTACATAAGAAAAGTTAGATAACATCTCCATATTTTGCCAAAACATATTTTGCCAATAAGGCTAAAAATTTACGTTTTGTCAAAAAGTTTCTTGGCAAAACGTGTTACTTTAGCCTTATTGGCAAAATATAGATTTGGCAAAACGTGTTTATACGGTTAGAATGGCAGACAGTTCCATGGAGATTTCCAGCAAATTTATTTAGCTTTACGCTTTCATATTTTCGATTTTATTATTTAAGCATTTAGTAAACAAAATGTGGTATTTATTGATTTTATGATGTTTATCCATTTAATAAGATTTTGTTTTTATAATTTTTAGCTCTATTAAAAGTCAAAACAACTTTATTGCGTTTAAATCTTGAAATCTTGTACTTGTTCAACTTTTTCAAAGTTTTCTTCTTTTTGGTGATCTAACTGGTCTCCTTGTGATTGGTTGAATATGCGAGCAAAGGTCGATTTTAAAAGTTTCGAGTCAAGCTTATAAAAAATTTAATTTCAGTGGCGTAAGAAAAGGATGCGTCGTTTGAAGCGTAAGCGAAGACAGCAAAAGAAATGAGACTGAAAATTGGCTTTATTGGAACTTGGCAAAACGGAAACGACGAACCAAAAATTTTCTGAAAAGTTATCAACATTTTCAACCTGAAGATGTTTTATGTTAAATTTTATTTTGTTAAAATCAGTAAACAGAAAAACTTCAGATTGTTTATAATTGTGTTGTGTAGCGTTTTCTATTTTTTAACTTTGCTTTGTCTCCGATTATTCCCGGTTCGTTCCTTATCTATTTCCGACATTGGCTAATGGTCGGGATCCCAACATCTAGCTACCAATCTCCTTATATAGCTTTAAGTCAACTTTTTTTTGACTCTTACGTCCATGAACCCTGTTATAGCAAGCCAATTTTCTGTAGGTTACACCAAGTTGGTTCTATTCTTGATTGAGATAGTTTGACTTCAGTCAATTTGTCGTCGTCTGGAAGTGTTAGCGCTCGAAGTTCCTCGTAATCTAGTCGATGATTTGTAAACGTTTACGTCCTTATCGTTCTAGTTTACAATCAACTGAGTTATTATCAATTTCCGACCATTAGGACTCTTAGATCCCTGGTTTAACCTTAATCTTTGTGTGTTAAATCAGTTCTTTGAGGTCTTTTTTTAAACAATTTCCATTTTATACAATTTTCTTGTATGCAACACCCCCAAGAAATTCCTCCAGTCATTAGTTTTAATTTTTTGTTCGTTTCATGTCATCTATACTATGAAGTTTGGTCCTTCTGGCGCCATTATTTTCAACCCCCATAGTGTTTATTGGTCGATGAAATAAAGAGTGACGAGAGGGATTGGCCATAGTGAGAGGGTGGAAGTAAGGGGAGAAGAGTAAGAGAAAAAGCAAGGCTTCTCCATATTCTGCAAACCCACACTTTGCCAATAAGGTTAAAAACTCGCGTTTCGTCACAACGCTATTGGCAAAACGTGAGATTTTAGCCTTATTGGCAGAAAGATGGTTTGGCAAAATATTGAGACACTAAAATAGAAAGATTGCTGGCTCTAAGTGAGTGCGTACGTTTGTGTTTTGTTTTAGGGCCTGTGTACACACATTTTTGAGATTCTCGGGTAAAAATTTTTTTGTTTTCTCTTCAATATTTATTACGCATTTTTGCTATTTTCGTTTCTCTTATATTTCCACTCGTTCACTGATATAATCCTTACGTGTCCGGACAAAATATCGAATCGTTAAAATATGGAATAGGCTAAAAAAGGGTTAAAATCTCGAATCGGGTAAAAATGGGTTAAAATCGCGAATAGGCTAAAAAGGGGTTAAAATATGGAATCGTTAAAATATGGAATGGTTAAAATATCGAATAGGCTAAAAAAGGGTTAAAATATGGAATCGTTAAAATATGGAATGGTAAAAATGTCGACACGGCCAAAATTGGTCAAAATGTCGAATTTTTTAAAAATGGCGCCAAAACTAGAATCCGGACGGTACCGTAATACCGATGGTATTTTTCGGTATTCCGTGTCGGTTGTACGGTACGGAATGCCTTCCGATAAAATTTAAAAGCTGATCGGTGTTTTTCGGTATTCCATACCGTATACGGTAAGGTCAAACTTTAGGTCTTAACTAAAAACTAATGCACACCACTATAATTTTTCCATATCAGGATCGCGTTATGTTTTCCGGATCCGTACGATCATGCCGGACCGGATCCGGTGTCGATTATGCTTAATTTATCCGGTCCGGTTTTACTCCGTAAAATACACTGAACTCGGGCAGAAAAGATTGCGCCGGACTACGACATAAGAGACTTATCAATCAACTTATCATCAATAAGTTGATAAGTTGATAAAATTATCAATAATCAATGTATGGCACTCATCTGACCCTTTTTTAAAAGAATTCGACATTTTGACCCATTTTGGCCGTGTCGACATTTTAACCATTCCATATTTTAACGATTCCATATTTTAACCCTTTTTTACCCGATTCGATATTTTAACGATTCTATATTTTAACGATTCGGTATTTTAACCCCTTTTTAGCCTATTCGCGATTTTAACCATTCCATATTTTAACGATTCCATATTTTGTACCGGAGCCAATCCTTACAATAATGGCAAAAAGAGTAAAAGAGAGAGAGTGAATGTTTGTGTTTCCAAAATAGGAAAAGAAAGAGCGCTGGCTCTAATGGCGACGACTTTCCCAAAACACACATTGGCGCGCATCCAAATAATGTAAAATATATGTACATTATTTTTAGCAACAAGAGCTTTTTAAAATTTGTAAAAAGTCAAAGTTTGCATTGAAACTATGGCCAATTTACGCAATAAATAAACGCGTGCAATGCTTAAACTGTTTTATGTTTAATTTTGTTTAACTACAAAAAAATTTTTGCTCGTTTCTAATATTTTTTTTATTAATCGGATTAAAAAATATTTTTTTTTCTTTTTTTAGAATTGAAAGAAAATTTGTAAAAATTATTTTATTGTACATTTGTTTAAGCCCTGTTCAAAATGGAAGACAAAAGTAGAAGAGGAAATACGCCTGCTCATTCTAGAGAGGTTATAGCTTCAAGATCAGGTTAGTCTTTTTTAAATTTTTAAAGGGTTTTTAGCTAAATTAGAGTTCGAGTCTTTCACGCGCTGGGCCAGTTTCCGGGTTTAAGCTGGCCGGGCCGGGGTTTCATGGCTAAAATCCTAAAGCTATGATTTTATCAAAGTATCCTGTACCTGGCGCTTTAAATTAGAATTCGAACTCAACATAGCCGTCCCGGCACCCGGGTTTTTCTTTTAGGTTTTAGTTTTTTAGCCGAGGTTATAGCCGGGGGTCCCAGGCTAGAACCTTGAAAAATCGGATTTTATTAGTATCCCTGGGCGGCCCTGGTTTTAATTCTAAAATTCCCTTACAATGCTCTTCAAATTAAATTTCTATTTTTGCAGAACATGCAGTCAGCAAACCCATTATGGTACAGGCACGTGGTCCTCATTATGGTGCATCGGTGGTTTCGCCAAAATCAATTGGAGGCGAACAGTCTGGACTTTGTCATCAAATGCTTGAGAATGTTTTGTCGTCTTCACCTGGAAGTCTTAATGCAAAATTTGTAATTTTTTAAAAAAAATTCTTGGAGATAATTCTTTTATTTTTAGGGTGGAATTTCTAAAAATGGGAAACCTTCCAAGTTGGCCACATCTGAAAACATGGACAAAAAGTTTGTTTTTTAAATTTGTTTTGTTCAATTTTTTTTAATTTTAGTGGCATTACAACAACAAACGTGCCACGAACAAGTTATCCCTCAACGACAACAACAATGGTCTCATCATCTACACAAATCACTTCAACTCATTCTCAGCCTGTACCTATTCCAAATCCTTATTCTAATGTTGGAGGGGCAGATATTATTGGTGGATGTCATATGATTGGAACGCCAGAATTTAGTCAGGTTAGATTAAGAAATTTTTTTTACTTTTATAATTTCTATAAGATTAATTTTTTCTAGTATCCTTTCATGGTTCCTGGTCAACCAGGCACTCCAATAATTTATGCAACAAGACAAAATGCTTCTGTCCTTGGCTCAACACCAACAAATTATGGTTATGGCTCTTGGGGTGCCGTATATCCCCAGCCTGCGCCTCCTCCTCATCCACATCATAATGGAACAATATTACACACAGGTTTGTTTTATACTTTATCAAAAAAGAATATTTTTTAGAACACGCTGTAAGCAATCCAATCATGGTACAAGCACGCGGCCCTCATTATGGTGCAATGATGGTTTCACCAAAATCTGGAGAACAATCTGGTTTATGTCATCAAATGCTTGAAAATGTGCTGTCATCGTCACCTGGAAGTCTGAATGCTAAATTTGTATGTCTTTTTGAATTTTGTATTGATTTTATCAATTATATTTTTAGGGTGGAATTTCTATTAATGATAAGCCTTCAAAGCTGGCAACTGTTGATATGAGGTTTTTATATTTTTTTAAACTTTAAATTTGTTTTTCCGATATTTATACCAAGCTTTAGCAATTCCGTTTAAAAATTTTTTAAATATGCTTGGTATATTATCGTCAATTACTAATTTAAAATAAGAACAGCACAAAAAATGTTCATTTTATTAGGAATCACCCTTCAACAACATCAACAATGGTTTCATCTTCTCAAATGGCTCAAGTTCATTCACAGCCTGTCCCAATTCAAAATAATTATTCTGGAGTTGGTGGTCCTGATATGGGTGGTGGATGTCACATGATTGGAACTCCAGAATTTAGTCAGGTTTGACTCATTTACACGAAAAACATTTTTGTTCAAAAATTTTTTTAGTATCCTTTTATGGTTCCTGGACAACCAGGTACTCCAATACTTTATGCAACAAGACAAAATGCGGCGACTATTCTTGGTTCAACACCGCCAAATTATGGTTATAGTTCTTGGGGTTATCCACCACCACCTCAAGCAGCGCCTCCGCCACACCATCATCATCACAATGGGACAATATTGCCTCCAGGTTATTTTTATTTAAAAATTAGTCAGTAATTTTCTTTAAATAGTTGGCGGCCGTGTTCCTCTTGTACAGACACTTTCTGATCGTGCTTCTTCAAATTTTCGTCCAAACAGGACACCAGGTTCACTTTAAGGCTAATAGCTTCCTGATTGTGCTTCTTTTTAGGTACTCGCGTTCCTCTTAACACTCTTCACACCAATTCTCTTCATGGTAACGAAGAGATACAACACTCTAGAGGTGGAAATGTTGCTGCTCATCGTTCTCAACTTTTGGATGATTTTCGAAATAGTCGATTGCCTCATTTGCAACTTATGGATTTGGGTGTGTATGTAGTGGAATTTGCTCAGGATCAACACGGATCACGGTTTTTTTATTTTTTGGATTAATTAGCTTATTTTTTAATTTCTAGTTTTATTCAACAAAGGCTTGAAAGAGCAAATGCTAAAGAAAAACAATTTATTTTCGATGAAGTATATCAACACGCTTTGCACTTGATGACTGATGTTTTTGGTAATTATGTCATTCAGGTTTCTTTCTAAAAATATTTTATAAAAATTATTTTTTTTTCTAGAAATTCTTTGAATACGGCACTGATGAACAAAAACGCAAATTGATGCAAATAGTCCAAGGAAATGTTATGAATCTTGCTTTACAAATGTATGGATGTCGAGTGATTCAAAAAGCTTTGGAATCAGTTGATCAGGACTGTCAAATGGAAGTTATAAAAGAAATTAGCAATCATGTGCTTAAATGTGTTAAGGATCAAAATGGAAACCATGTGGTGCAAAAGGTAAATTTTTTGAATTTATTGAGAACTATTAACACGGGATCAACCCAGACTCCTTTTCCACAAGTCAGCTCTCTGTTAAGTGAATGTAAGCAGGCCATAGCTTGATCCCTAGTCCCTTTATCCGCTCTAATATTTGGTTTTTACCCTCTTATGTGAGTAATTTGACCAAAACCTTCTTGGTTTTGGCTTTTTAAGATATGTATGATGTACCCTTTGCACCGTTTAAATTTTTTTAATTTTGTATAGATCATTGAGAGAGTGGAGCCTCAACAACTTCAATTCATCATTGATGCGTTTACTAAAGGAGCACCTGACACTGTTTGTTTTATTTTACTTTTAAACAATTTTGGTCATTTTTAAGGTCTGTTCGCTTTCTTCTCATCCTTATGGATGTCGTGTTATTCAACGCGTTCTTGAACATTGTACAGAAGAACAAAAGAGGTTTTTTTTTAATTTATTTTTTAATTTTAAAAATATTCTTTTCTAGACCAGTTCTTGAGCAATTACACGAAAACATCTTTACACTTGTAACAGATCAATATGGCAATTACGTAATTCAACACGTTATTGAACATGGAATTTCTTTGGATCGAGAACGTATTGTAAAGTGTTTACGTGGTGATGTACTCAAATATGCTCAACATAAATTTGCTTCTAATGTAATTGAAAAATGTTTAATTTGTGGAACAACTGAACAGAAAAATATTTTGATTGATGAAGTTTGTAATGAGTGAGTTTTTTTTTAATTTTTTGAATCAACCACAAAAAGTTATTTATGCACTCAGGGGAGTTGTTAAGGATTTTTACTTACTGGTTAGTCTTAAGGTTGGCTGTTCTCTGTTTTGTTGAGCCGAAAATAAACAGGATTTCTCGGTTCGATTTTTGGTTCCGGATAACTGAAGATTTCCCAGGAACCGCCAATCTTAATAGGCCTCGGGATTTTTAAAAAAGCTAATCCCCACTCGGGGGTGTGTCATTTGTTTAAGTGCCATACATGGACGACTAACACACCCAATAACTGCTGTCAGGCTTCGAACCTGATTGTGAGTCTTTCGTTAAGTGTAACTCGGGTGTGTTAACCACTACACCACAGCAGGGGCCAAAAATAAACGTGTGCCTGAAGGTTGAGTCGAACCTCAACCTTGCTCCACAGGGTCTGGCATTAAACAACTGAACTACACGAGCACACTTTTATTTTTATAAAAGAATTTTTTTCTTAAAGTGATGGAGCTCCAAATCCACAACTTCTTGAAATGATGAAGGATCCATTTGCAAATTATGTGGTCCAAAAGATGCTTGATGTTTCAGATAGTGCACATCGAAAGAAAATTATGTTTTCCATCAAAAGTCACATTCCTGCTTTGAGAAAATTTAATTATGGAAAGCACATTATCGGTAAGCATGAGTAATTTGATGATTTGATTAACTCTTCTTCTTTTTTTAAGCCAAATTGGAGAAATATTTTCAAAAGACGAATCCTGGTGTTCCATTTAGTTTAATATCTGGAGAACAATCACCACAACAACAATTTTCCAATACATCAGTCAACACAGCTGTTTCTAATAATAATAATAATTTTGAGAATGGACCGCCAATATATTAAAAAAAGAGGAAAAAAATGATGGTGAGATGTGACTGATTAAAAAAATTTTTTTTGCAGCAACTTGTGTATGAAAGTGAAAAAGTTAACAAACAAACACACAAAGATTGACAATTTTCAGGGGCATCACACACAGCAACAAAAAAGAGAAAAATTTCAATTTGTAATATGCGCAAAACAAACAACTACGCAAATATATATTTATTTTAATTTGGCAAAATAATATACAAATTATGTATTCTCGTATATTTTTCGGGGTTCTATTTTAGGGCATTCGACCTCTAGAAGCTTTTATGGGTCTCATGATCGTTCAAGATTCCTATTAGCGTTTACGCATCCCATCAGCATATACTTTACTAGGTGTCGGAAAAAGACAGGATCCGTGATTCCGCATGGGATTTCAGAAGTTTATCCAGGGATCCCAGGTTTTATGCAACGAACTGATTATATGATTAATCGTCTGGATCCCGCGAATGCGATCTTACTGGACTATCAGCACTTACTAATATTTTAGGGATCACATATACTCTGCTGTGGATGCTTAAAATTATCTCATGGGCCACAAAAAGCTCATGGTACGCATGCCCTAAACTAGGGCCTATTTATCTTGTTAATTATATATTTTTTCTTCTTTTTCGCTTATGCACATAACAGAATTTTGTCATTTATTTTCATCAATATATCCAAAATCCACCACCATAAAAATATATATCATTCTATTTAAACCTTATATATATAAATATATTTATTTTTAATATATATTTTTTTCCTTCATTTTTTTTTGCATACCTTGGCCCTAATTATATAAAAAAATTATTTTTTTTTGTGTGTTTTTCCTCTCCATTTTTTCCATATACATATATAAAAATATTTATTTTGCTCTATATTTTATTGTAAACGTCTTGTTGATTAAATAAATTTATTTTTAACAAGACAAAAAAATTTTTTTGTTTATTTAAAATTAAAAAAAAATATGTATTTTTTTTTCTTCTGAGGGATAAATTATGAAATTATTTTTAACAAATTTAATTTTCTCTAAAAAAAGATTTCACATTCTTTTTTTATTTTATTTTTGCCTTATTTTCTCTTAAAAATCATTTAATGTTGAGCAGCTCACCATTGATTTCATATTGTTTTTTACTCGCCTTCCTTTTGTTTTTGACAAAAAATCACGTTCACGTTGAGAATGTTTTCTGTTTTTATCGGGGTACATTCTGTTGGTGCGCGGCAAATTCGATAAGAGCCGGAAAGGATCTGGATTAATCCGGAGAACGGGACCGAATCCGGGTTATCTGGATTGACCCGATCCGGAAACATTCCGGTGATCGAATGTTTTGTGAATTGGAAAAAAAATTGGGACTTGGGATTTGGAAAATTGGATTTGGGACTGGATTTTTGGATTTGGGACACTGACGTAGGAACTATCCGGCCGGGTCTGGGCAGGCGTCGCGCACTGCATACTAACATCTCTGTTTTCCAATTGAGAGATTGAAATTGTATTGTATCACAAGCATTGTATTCTTCTAGTTTTTTTTTGCATTTCATATACTACTATTCTTGCAAAGACAATTGTAATATTTTGAAATTTCCAATCGCAATGTATTTTTTTTTGTTAAATTTATATAGTTTATCCTTCCACAATTTAAATGTTTTTACAAAATTGAAACGAAGAAAAATAAAAATATTTGAATGTTGCTTTTAATGGAAAATTCTTTTACTCCAAGTAATCCTCCGCGTTGTTTATTTTCTTGCTTAAATTCGTCTAAATTAATTGTTTTTACAGGGATTTGTTAGTTTTCCAATTTATAAAAAAATGCGACTTTTCGCTAGTATGCGTTCTTTTGCTTGCGCAAGTTTTCTTTGTGCTAGATACAAAAGTCTTAGTTTTGTTAATTTACAACAACAAAATGAGGAACAGGCTGTAAAGTTGTCTCGAAAGGTTTTTTTAAATTTAATAAAATTATTTTTAAAGAAAATTTAGATTGTTTCAAATGTCGATAAAAGTGGCCTGAGTCTTCGTTTATATCAATATCAGACATGCCCGTATTGTTGTAAGGTCCGTGCTGTTCTTGACTACTTTGGATTTTCTTATGAGGTTGTGGAAGTGAACCCTGTGACTCGTTCGCAAATTAACTTTACTGATTATAAAAAGGTTTGTTTTTGAATTTTGATAGGGTGAAAGTCGGGGGAAAGTGATTCCGGTGGAATTTATCTTTCTGGGTTGATACGGTCTCTAGAAAATCCGTCGGGTTAGGTTTAAGACTATAGGTTTAAGACTAGAGTTTGTAATGGTTCGTTACTACAGCAGTACGGTAACGGAATTACTTTAACGGGTACTTTCCGGAATTACCAGTAGCAGTACTTGTCTATATCTGAATTTTCGTTAAAAAACCCCGGAAAGTACCTAAAAAAGCAATTTGAAGAACACTAGTTAACGACCCAAACTTCATCAAAAAATCAAGAAAAATTCAAAAAGACACATAAATCCTAAAAAATCTTAGAAAAAATTTACAAAAGTTGTCGAAATAGTCCAGTTTCCGTACATTTATATCCCAAACCGATAACTCCAGGAAAGCTAACAGCAACTGTATCCAAAGCCAACGAACCATCTTCTTCAGTTGGTATAAGTTTTGGCAACTCTCCACCCTTTTCCGTTATATAGACATCTTTATACTTTAAATTAATCAAATTTTTTATTTAAATAATTTTAATAAACTTGAGGAATGTCAATTTTAACGTCAGAATTGTCCATCTTGAAGTAAAATAAATTTTTGTATAATTTAAAGTAGGCAGGGGATTGTTTATAAAATACAAAGCTTACTTAAATTTTGTTAAACATTATTACTAGGGTTGTTGGCGACCGGTTATTAACCGATACCCCCGGTTTTCGGTTGAACTAAATTTTAGCAACCCGGTTTTCGGTTTTGAGTTTTAGGCAAATACCGGTTTATTTTTGGGGGAATTTCAAATAAAATCACTCCTTTTTACAAATTTCAGGTTTTCATTTTTAAAATTTTCTAAAAACGGTTAATTTTTGGCAAATAATTTCAAAAATTCCGGTTTTAAAACCGGTCGCAAACAACCCTAATTATTACTCAAATTAAAATTTTTAAAAAAAAACTGATTTTTAATAAAATTCAGAAAGTTTTAGTCAGCTTTATCAGAATTTTAATTAAAAATTCTGATTTTTATTATAAGCAAATCTAATCAGGGATGTCACGGGTTATATGAAACCCTATACCCAGAACTTTTTCGACCCTAAACAACTAATCAAAGAAACTTTCGAAAGCCACCCAAGACTTTTTTTTTCACTTCGAATATCACTGTGTCTAATAAGGAATTTTAAATACTACTGATTTTTATTTTTTTATTTTAATAAAATTCTGATTTTTCAATATTTTTAAATATTTCAAATTTTTTTCCAGCCTTATTCTTATATTTTCTAACCTGTCGTTTCTGAGCCTTCTCAATCGGTCTGTTTTGAAAAAAGGAATTTGTTGATTATAATTAAATTTAATTAAATTCCACCTATTTTCTCCCCCATGTTCTCTTTGATAGACACCACAATCATTACATAAATAATCCCCACTTTTATGTTCACGTCGCCATAAAGTAGTTGACGTAGTTCCACAATTTTTACATTGACGGGTATTCATGTCAATATTGCCTAAGGTTCCGAAAATTTTGTTAACAATTATGGAGATTTTTAGACAATTTAAAGTATGTTTAAAAATCATTGAGAGGCTACCACATTTTTATCAACTCAGAAACAAATTTAACAAAGTCTGAAACTTGTCTCTCCCAAAACTCATACACTGAATCTAGAGCATGGTCATGGGAGTGTATTACAAAATTTACCCATGACGAAATAATTACAGTACGTAAATATTGTTTCAACACCTCATTAAAGGTGTTATTAAACAATTTTAGAAAGGATTATTTATTTGAGCATAGCGTTGTCGGTTTCAACCCGAACCGAAAAACCGAAGATTTGTCGGTTGGGTTTCGGTTAACCGATGAATCTGGTGAAACCGACAACCCTATTTTCTTAAACTATGACAGAAAGATCAGTTCCATAATATAAAATATATACAAAATTAAAACTTCTAATAGAGACACATACCATGTCTTCTATTATTCAACCTTCTCGTAAGGAAGCCCCTAAAACTCAAGGAAGGGAGGGTGGATATCCCAAAAGTACAATATTTTCCAACCTGTCTTTTTTTCAGGCTTCTCAATCGGTCTGTTTAAAAAAAGGAATTTGTTGATTATAATTTAATTTAATTAAATTCCACCTATTTTCTCCCTCATGTCCACCTTGATGGACACTACAATCATTACAAAAATAATCAACACTTGCAGGTCGCCATATAGCAGTTTCCGTAGTTCCACAATCTATACAATGAGGTTTATTCATGTCAATATGACCTAAGATTCCGAAAATTTTATTAACATTTATGGGGATTTTATTGAAAGACCCATGTTCTTTATATAATTTAAAGTATGTTTAAAAAATAAAAAACACTTTACTTGAAGGCTAACTCATTTTTTATCAAATCAGAAACAAGTTTAACAAAGTCTGAAACTTGTCTCACGCAAAACAAATACACTGAAGCTTTTTTCTTATTACAAAATTTACCTATGCCCAAATAGTTACCATGCGTAATTATTGTTTCAACACCTCGCTGAATGTGGTAATTATTAAACAATTTAAGAAAGGAAGATTAATTATTTGAGCATGTCTAGAGATCGAGCTGGGTTTTTTCTGTACCCAGAGTCAATATATCTTCTGATATATTTCTGACTTAATATCTTCTGACCTTCCCCGGTTTTACTGTATTACAGGCCCAGGGTCCGGCCCATGACAATAAATCAAACCCTGAACAGGCCCAGGTTTTCAAAAACCTCGATCTCCCTAAGGTACTGAGTCTTTCGTGAAGCTGACAAAAGTAAAACTTCTAATAGAGGACATATGTGTCTTCTATTTTTCAACCTTCTCGTAAGGAAGCCTCTGAAACTCAAGTAAAGGAGGGGATATTCCAAAAGTACAATATTTTCTAACCTGGCTTTTTTACAAGATTCACAATCGGTCTGTTTAAAAAGAAGGCATTATTGCTAATAAATTAATTATACACTTATTCATTCCATGAAGTTTTCGATAGAGGCCACAAGCATTACAATAACAATCCCCATTTGTCTGATCACGTCGGTATAAAGAAGCATGCTCAGCTCCACAATTTTTACATTTTGGACTTTTCATGTTAATATGGCCTAAAATTAAGAGAGGAATTTGTGGGACTTGAAAAATGCAAGCTTAGGGTCAAGTTGAAGCATGCTTCAAGAAATAAAATTAAAAATTTTAAAAGCTTAAACATTTTCTATCAAATTAGAAAAAAGCTTCACAAAGTCTCAAGCGAGCTTAACAAAAATCAGACATACTTCAAAAATTAGAGAATTCCTGCCCTGACTTGTCTAACAGGTATAAAATGACCCTAAATATAAAATGACCTATAATGCTTCCACTAAACCTTTATTATTTATTTAGTAAGGGAATAAAGCTAAAAATTCTGCCTATACTAAGAGAATGAACGCCTTACAAGGACAGAACGACCCAAAACCTGGGGAGTGTTTTCCTCCTGAGACGGAAAGTTTAAAAATAATAGATGATGGAAAGGTAGGTTTGAAGGGCACAAATAAACCTTCAAAGGAAGAAAAATTGAAAGATGGTCTAAGGAAAATATTTGAATAATATGTTGGGAAATAGGGCAAAATACAGTTCCAAAAAAGATAAGACGCACAAATTTTCCTTCCGTCAATTCATCTATCGAATTTTAGAATAAGAGAAGAATATTTTAAAAAATTAAAGATTAATCCGTTTAAACCCCTTTATATCTCCGATATCCCTTCAAATTCTCCGTTATTCAGGGTGTGAGTAAATATTGAGGGGTGAACTCATATTTTCGATAAATTTTCTGGGATTAGCCCCGAAAACCCGCCCGGGTCGACTATGAAGAAAAAAGCCCGGATACGGGCCCGGCAAAGTGAAAAGTTCGAACTCTAACGAATATTTCCTCTATTATTAACAATTAATTTAAAAATTAATTTCAAATTTTTATTATTTGGCCCAACATTTTTCAGACATTTTAAACAAATAAAATCATGAAATTAATATTTTTTAATTAAAATTTAAAACCCCTTAATTGCTATTTTTTAAATTTTGTTTATTTTAGCAATTTATTCCTCTTAAATGTTGAGGATTATTTTTATTATTTTCACTTTCCCTTATTTTTATTTAATATTTTTATTGATTCTTCTCTATAAAGCAACAAAATTATTATTTTTTTAAATTTATTTACTAATTTTTTATTTTTATTTTTTAAAAATTAAAAAAATTTCTCTCAATTTAATTCAAAATTTCCAATGGAAAATTTTTGTTTAGAAAATTTACGAGGCAAAGAGGTAAATAGAAGAATTTCACCTGAAGTTCCGTTGTCTTTTGGTCTGGAACAGATAACGGAACTCAAATTGGATTCGGTTCCGGTCAAAATATCGGTTCCGGGGTAAAATTCCGTCATACGTCCCGGAAACCGATTCAGACAAACAATATGTCATTTGAAAGAGCTAGGCGAGCTGAGTCGAATGACATCAAAATTAGGTCCCGGTCTCACTTATGGACCGAGATATAGGCCCCCGAAAATCGAAAAACCATAGGGGGGCCAAGCACTTTTTTGGGGTGAAAAATTCGAAAATGCAAATTATACCTCATTCGAAAGAGCTCCTCGAGCTGAGTCGAATGACACCAAAATCAACGAAATCTGATTTGATTTAACAAAGTTATGATCGTTTGTTTTAGCTCCTTACCTTTGTTCTCCGTGGATGTTATGCTGCTGCGGAGGAAGCCGGGCATGACCATCACAGCGATAATTGGAATAGGATTAAGTTACGAGCCCAGACCCAGCGCCCGTAGACTCCCCGCGAGGCGCGTACCGCAAAACTCCGCGCGAAGCGCGGAGTTTTGCACAAGCGCCTCGCCGCCGCCCCATAGGTTTATGTTGTTTGTTTTTTTTTGTCATAACTTCGAAAAAACTTGACCAATCACGGCGATTTTGGTGCCATTCGACTCAGCTTAAAGAGCTCTTTCAAATGAGCTATTATTTGTATATTAGAATTTTTCACCACAAAAAAGTGCTTGGTCCCCCTATGGTTTTTCGATTTTCGGGGGCCTATATCTCGGTCCATGGGTGAGACCGGGACCTAATTTTGTGTCATTCGACTCAGCTCGCCGAGCTCTTTCAAATGACATATTGTTTGTTTGAATCGGTTTCCGGGACTTATGACGGAATTTTTCCGGTTCCGGTAAAGCACTAGTAAATAGCCCTTAAGGCTTTCTATAAAGCACTACCATGATCTACATTTAAATTCATAACTTTATGAATAATAATCCTTTCAAAATTATTTATATACCATTCGATAGAGAATTAAATTTGCTACAAAATTACAAAAAATTATTTTTCTAGCTAAAATTTCAAAAAAGTTATGCTGGAAAAACTACGACAAATTAACATTCTTCACTTAAATATGTTGGTTTTTTGACTACAACTTTTTTTCTAATTAATCAAAAATTCTCATTTAAATTTTATTTTGTAGAAAATTCAATTATCTATCGAACTATATAAAATTTATTTAAATCGGTTAAGAATTTCTAGAGTTATAACCTTAAAACCCAACATATGTTTAATTCCCCATTTAAGGCCTGGTTAAAAGAAAGGTTGCCTTTAAATGTTTACAGTGATGAAACTTCCAAACTTTTTGATTCGGCATTGAGACAATTAATTTCTTGGTTTGAATGTGAACAAATTGGTGGTATTTTAGGCACTATAGAGAAAATGAATAAATCGGAACCTGATTTTTGTAATTTTTAATTTTAATTAAAGAGAGAAAACTTTGTTTAAAAATTAAAATGAAAGGTATTCCTTTCCTTTTTTCCTCCAAAATTCCCTTGCATTAAAAGCAGTTAAAAAAGAATTATTAAAAGCTGAAGCATGTTGCCATTTAGCTTTTTTAAACCGTCCTCTCTTTGTATTGTTTGTGTTAACTCTTCCAGGCTAAGGCTATCGGATCCGGTTCCGAAAAAAGGCCGGATATCCGAAATTTTCAGTTCCGATCCGGATATCCGAAGATTCCCAACTATCCGACAACCTTATTCCAGGCAACCAAACTACAGTGCTGAGATTTAAATAGGGAAAATATTTTAGTATGACTCTCAGCGTCTAAATATTTTTATGCTAAAGCTTTGATTTCCATGTGTTAACTAACTTCACTATCAATTTTTTATACCTCAAACTTTTATTCCTTTATTGATGTAATCCACAAAGGAAGAGAAAAACAAGCATTACCCTTCAAAGCCTATAAATAAATTTCTAAAATTTTTCAGTATTAGGCAAAACATTAAAGCTTGGATTGGATACTTTAAGTAGTGGGCGATCTAAACGTTCTGATCCTACTTTTGAACAAGAATTGGCAGATTTAGTTAAGGATGCTAATTTAAGGGGGAATGAAAGGGAGAGAAAACATGCTTATGCTGTTCAACTTTTTGCTGATAGGTTGGAAAATAATTTGATAATTGCAAAATTTCCAACCCTCAAAATGACCAAGTATTAGATTAAAATAGGATGGAACCCCGTCCCCCGAACCCCGACCCGACCCGAACCCAGAAGACTACTCCGGGACTCACCCCCGTACGAACAACCCAGCCCTCCCCCCTCTACCCCGACGCCCACCCCCATACAGGCAAAACCCCCTACCCGACCCCAAAACCCCGTCCCGACTATTTTTTAGCAAAAACCAGACCCGGACCTCTAAGGCTTTACTCAAGCAAACCCCGATCCCCGACGATCCTGCCCACGAAGGCTCGGGGTGCTACCCTAGTTTAAAAAATAAATTTTTCACAGCGAAATGCACAGAGCTTGTAATGAATGGGAAGATATACTTGTAGAATATCCCAACGATTTAATGGCACTTAAATTTGCTCATACTGGATATTTTTATATTGGAGAGCATTTGGGTTTTGTTTTTTTTTTAATTTTAAACTCGAATTTATTTATTCAGCTATGAGAGACAGTATTGCGAGAGTGATTGATAAATGGGATAAAGAGAGATATCCTGGTTATAGGTGAGGATATTTTCGTATTGCCACTTTATAAAATGTCAAATTTCGAAAATTGTAAATATTACGTACCGTATAGCCTACCTATATTAAACTGTTTCTCAAATAATTGCCCCAATATGTTGATTGCACCTTTTAGTTTAAGGTTTCGGTCTTGGGAACACTTTGGATATCCGGATCCGAAAATTCTAGCCAAAATTTTCTGAGGTGCAATCTTTTTTCGAGACTGGGTATCCGAATTCGACAATCTTACTCTAGTGATAGCTTGAAATGTGACAATAATAACCTTCATAAAATTTTTTGCCAACACATCCAATTTCCCTTCCTCAATTAATTGAGTGGGGTGTCGAAAAATAATTACCTAGGGTAGTCATTAAAGGAAATACGGTATCGTTTAAAGTTATCTACACGGGATGTATGCTTATGGATTAGAAGAATCCGGGGAATATATCGAAGCAGAAAAACAAGCAAGAATAGGCCTACAATTACAACGTCAAGATGGCTGGTCTACCCATGCTATAGCTCACTGTAGGGAAATGGCTAGCGATTTCAAAAATGGAATTAATTTTTTGGAATCCACAGAGAATGATTGGAGTGTATGTTTTGACAGAAAATATTCAAAAATAAATTTAGAATATTATTTTTAGCAGTGTAAGCTGCTCCATGGGCATAATTACTGGTAAATATTATTAACAATTGAGTTCTCTACAACCTGGTTAATCTAGTAGATAAACACTACATTTTTAGTTATTAATGGAAACTGTTATTTAAAAATCGGGAAATCAAAAGGACCGAGTTTAACCTATTGAGTTTAACCTATTGTTATGTCCATAAAAATTCATACTTTACTGAATCGTATCTATTATATGGTGTTAATTTTTAAGTGAACAGTCAGAGCCTCTCTATAAATACTCAAATATATCCACCTCGATTTAAGACATGTTTTTAAAAGCTTCCTAACTATACGCCTTTCATGCCTCAAGAGTTTTTTGCATATAAGAGAGACTTCTGAACTTAATTAATTAAATTTCAGGCATAATGCCCTCTTTTACATTGAAAAGGGGGACTTTGAGACAGCTTTAACTATTTATGACAAGTTTAATAATTTTTAAAAATTTCCAAAAATTTTTTATTTTTTGAGTAAATTAGCACCCAAAACCTCAAAAAAATCCTTTACAATAATGGAATTAATAGATGCTTCTTCCCTTTTGTCAAGACTTGAATTGGAAAGAATTAATGTTGGTAGAGAACGTTGGGAAGGATTGATACCTTTAGTTGGGCCACATATTGGGGATCAAATAATTGCTTTTAATGATGCACATATAGCTATGGTGTTGAGTAAATTGGATGATGAAGATATTGATGGAAGGGGGAATTTGGCTTATTTACATGCCAAAAATATATCGAATTTTGTGGGGTAAATTTTCAGAATTCTTAATTTATGACAACCCTCTCCCAAAACTTTGGAGACTAGTCCCGGGAAAGACGACTAGGGCATACTTCAAAATAAAACAGAAAATGACTCAAGTCAGAAAAATCGGGCCTGAAATAATCTATGTCTGGTCTGTATCAATTAATACCTTTAATTTGTATAAAAGTTTTGGGGCGGTAGGATCTCTATATGAGAAAGCTTTGGCTATATTTTTTTCTATATGAGAAAATTTATACCTCAATTTAAGATACGGTTTTTAATATTCGATTGTTCACGTGAGGAGGGAGGAGCACCCTAGGGAGGGCACTTCTTTATTGTTCACCTCATTATAAGATACACTCTTTAGCTACAAAGGTATATTTCTTAGTGAAGTCCAACTAGGTATAATTAATTTTAAAGTTAAATTTTAACCTTCTAAAAATTTTCCCAAAATTAGAAAATAAAATTTAAATATAGATAGGCTAGCCCAAGCCCTTTAAAAATTTAATTTAAAAATAGGGATAAACAAAATATTGGAGAGAATGCAATAATTATGCGTGATTTTGGGGAAAAATTGTGTTCATCAATTAATTTATTTAATAAAGAAAAATATGACCAAGCATTTGATGATTTGTATTCTATCAAATCACAATTTTGTAGACTTAGTGGAAGCCATGCTCAAGTAATTTTTGAGTTTTTAGAAAAATTTTTGGGGGTTTAATTAACTTGAAATAGCTTTTACCAATGAAACAACCTTCCATTTAAACCTTTATAACTCTGCTGAACCTAAACTTTTTAGAAGGATTTTGGTATCATTCGATAGAGAATTAAATTCTCTATTTAAAAATAAGTGAAATTAAATTTTTTTGATAATTTTGTCAAAAGTTATGAGCAAAAAAGGGCATTTTTTATTGAAAATGAGTTTTTCAATTAAAGCCTTTTCAAATTATTTTTCTAAAATTCTAAGTTTTATTTTATTTATTAGTTAATTTAATCCTCTATTGAATACTTTTTATATTATTTTAAAATATTTATCCCTTTTTGAGTTAAGAGGATTTTTTCTGGACTAAAACCTTTAGTAAAGCAAATCGGACAAACCCATCCCAGAAAGACAAGAATACTTTTCTATGTAAGGTTGTTAATATTAAGGGTTGTACCCCGAACGCTCGGAGGCGGATGTATCAGGTTACGGGGTTTTCACATTGTTTCAGGGCGGGGTTCGAGTCGGGGGGAATCGTGAAAAAGTCGTTCGGGAACGGGGTACAACTACCTTTCATTTATCCTACCACCGACCGATATTTTCATTTTTGTTTTTGTTAAACTGACAAATGAGGGGGACATCTCTGGTCTTGGAAATAAAATTGGATTAAAATAAACTTTTTTCCAAAATTTTTTAAGAAAATTTTTATTTTCCAAATTTATTTAGGCATTTTTTAATTTTATTTCCCGATTTTTAAAATTTTTCAGAAAGATATATTCACCCAATTTCTCGTTTGTGCAGGCCTACATTCTCAAGACAAAGAGAGAAATAAAAAAGCATTGTAAATTAAATTTAAAAAATTATTTTTAAAAAATTAATTCCAAGGAATGTTTTTCAAGAGAGAGGTGCAAAAATGAGAGATTCCGCTTTGGCTCTTAGACTAATTAAGAGATATGAAGAAGGATTATTTTCTAAAAGATAAATAAATTTTTTCTGGAATTTTTATTTAGCACAATAGTATTTTCATTAATTAATTGTATTTTGAAATATTAAATTAATTTGTAAATATGACCTAATTTTCATAAATAAATTTGTATTTATCTTTAAATTTATTTATTTTTCTCTGCGTTTAATCCATCCCTTCAAAAGTTTTGGATAAAATACCTTTTTACAGACTCCCAGAATTATAATTCTAGCAATCTTTATTAGAGACGTCCAAGACTTGAATTTGGTCTTGGCATGAAAGTAAGATCAAACAAAGTTTAGTTATACTTGGCTCATAGTTCAAGTGGTCCGCTGAATGTTATGAACTTCCGGTTGATTTAGGGTAAATGGATCGAGACACATTTTCAGGTCTCGATCGGTAAATACTCAGTACCTGATAATTGATTCTTAGACAGGGAACCGAGAGCTTTAACTGTTATAATAGAAAATAAATTTTCCACATATTGGCCTTACGTAATCAGAAAATTATGGTCATCTAGATTGTGAAGCAAATTCGCATGCTTCATAAATACAGTCCAACTGCACAATAAGATCCGACACCAGTATTGAAAATTGTATCCTAGATTATGTTAGGCACTTCCCCCTTCCCTCTCCCCACTCCAACAAATTTCTAAAAAATGTATTTGAATAGAAAATTTTTTTTTTAATTTTTGGTTTAAAATCCCGTTTGTTTTAGCTATTTGTTTAGTTTGGTTAAATCATTATTATTATCCAGAAGTATCTGCGGACATTTTAATTTTTAGGTATAAAAACTAGGTATAAGAACTAGGTATAAGAACTAGGTATAAGAATCTATTTTAAATTAATTATAAGAAATAAATTAGTTTTATACGAAAATTAAATTTTGTTAAAATTAAAAAAATAAAAAATATGGCAGTCTCTTTTTGAGCAAATAAAAAATCACTTAAAACAAGAATTTTGTTTTTTGTTTAAAAAATTTTAGAAAATCATAGAAATTCCAAAAATAAATAAAAATTCTTGGTTTTTTAACAATAGAAAGCTTATTTTGTAAGTTGGAAAAGTGTTAATTAAGAAAAATATTTACTCCCAACAAATTTTACTCAAGAAAAAATTAATTTTTACCCCCACCCTCCCAGCCCCCTCTCCCCACCCCGCCCCTCATCTTGGCACTTGATTCTACCAAAGGCCCACCAAAACGTCTTAAAAAGTTTATTTATGCCCACACCGTTTTTTATGTTCTTATCAATTTTCTGAAAATTTTGGTTTTTAAAAAAATTTTTAATGGCCTATCAATACGAGAAAAAAATGGATTTTCGGTTTAAGACTTTTCCAACATTCAAAAGAGATTATTTTTAAATTACATGTTTTTGAGATGTTTTTTAGTATAAGAATCAAAATTAGTACAGAAATTAAGTGAATTTATAAGTTATAAATTAGATTAGTTAAGGATCTATATTTTTTAAAACCGTAAATTTTTTGAATAACCCGAAGGTGAAGGAGATTTTTTGAAAGAAAATTGAAATATATTTTTGAGGTCTTTAATTGAGGTTTTTAAAAATAATTTATAGATCCATATGTCAAACACGACTTATTTCTTGCATAAACCATGAATTAGAGAAATAACTGAAATGACCAATGCAATAAGAGTCATTATCATCATTATTATCTAAAAAAATTTTTGGATTATCCGGAAAAGAATAATAAAAAATAAAAAATTTTTCCAATCAAATCAAACAAAAATTTCAAAATTTAGTACAGAATTAAGAACGAACAATACGAAAAATCGTTGTTGGTTAAAATTTATTATTTTTAGTAAAAATTTTGTAAAAACAATTTAGGACAGATCCAACCCTTTTATTTTTAAAAAGGGAAAAAATGGAAATTCGAAAAGAATCGAGTTTTTAAATAAATTTTAGCCCAAAAATTAATTTATTTTGATCTGGTCCTTTTATTTATGGACAATTTTTAGATCGAATTAATGAAGCTAAAAAGCCACAAAAAACTTTTATGAAGCAGAAAATTTTGTTTAAAAATGGCCAAAATTTTAAAAAACCTTAAATATTAACCCACAAACAGACCTTAAAAATCCCCAATATTTAAAATAATGCAGAAATTTTTTTAAAAAAATTTTTGGAATAATTACCAAATTTATTCCAAAATACCTGGAGATTGTAATTGATTGAGCTGTCAATTTTAGCCTCCAAACGATTCAATTTTTCATCAATTTTAGTCTCCAAAGTCTCCATTTTTCCCTCCAAACGATTAATTTTAGTTTTAAGTTCCCCAATATCTAAAAATTGAGTAAATAAAGGAAAGTAATAAAAAATATATAAACAATATTTTTAGTAAATCCTTTATTTAAAATATTGAATTCCCTAAAAATTAGAATTCAAAACATCCCAAACCTAAACCAGAAAAAGTTATCGAAAGGTAAAAACTTGAGTAATTTTCTTGTTAAGTGGCAAACAATATAGTAGGGTAAATACTAAAATTCATGGTTCGCTTAAGGTATTCAAAATCTGCATATATGAATTAATTACACGGAACCCGTGAATTTTTCGAATGGAGGGCTTTTCCTGCGGACCTTTATGTTGCTTTGTCACTCA